CGTAAAAGCCACTTAAGTTCGTCCACTAAAAATTTAAAAAAAAACGCTAACTCAATTTTGCAGTGGAGATGTTGTTAAGTAGTGCTTGGTGTTTTCAGACTTTTTGCGTTTTGTGTGTTTATACAACTCTATCGTCGAGATACAGCAAAATGATGTCTGTGTAATAATTATTTATTTGATTCACTTCAGAAACTCACTAAAGAAACGCTAAAAACCGCTTATTATTATCAAAACAGTATTCGAGTTTCTAGGCTCTTATAGGATTAATTTCTCATAATTGACATTACACGAACAGAAACATATTGACCGCAAACATCGGAAAAAGGGATTCTGCCGACAACTGTTAGATAACTATAATATCATATTCGCGGAAACCCATCACGTGCACCGTTCGAAGCTTCTTAAAACTTACTATCCCTCGCCTCTCCCATGGTCGATAATTATAAATTATAGATTTTTACACCGAGTCGATTTCGCGGTATTTAAAACAAACATCGGCAGATTCACTTAAGTCTGCTATCGTAAAACCACAACGGTGTGAACGGTGAAGTTTGGTTATTTAAAAATTACAATGTAGTTAGATGTTTAAGTACTTTATGGTGTAAACAAGCGGACAAAAGCATGCTCAAACCCGAGTTGGTATAATAATAATAATACAAAAAAGAAACAATAATTAATATAAAGTTATTACTATTTCAATAATAATGACAGTAATAATTACCAGTTCAAGGACCCCGATAGGAAATTATACAACAATAACCGACCTTGATAGTACAAAACAAGTTTGCGCGTTAATTATTATTTCCTTTGTTTTTAGATACGTCCAGACTGCCAAATTCTATAGCAGTATATAACTGCTATAGAATTTGCCAGTCTGGTTCACAATGAATTATTATTGTATTAATTTCTTTTGACTATTTCATGATCGGCGGCGGCCATGCGTTACTTTTGATAACATACTATTACAACATCAACAGACAACATGTATCGATGAGGTAATGATGAGCATTGTGGAACTCCAGATTTTTCAACGATTGTAATACAATCAACGTAAATGTGCGTTTTCAACATGTAAGTGATTGTCATCGTTTGAATATTTTTTTTGATGAAAAGCGTATGGGAATTTGGTAATTGTTTCAGTTTTTCCCAGGCTGCAGACACGTTTATATCTACAAAAACCAGATTGGCATCTGAAGCTATCTTAATAATAATAATAATAAGTCCTTTAGACTGTGTTGAGAGGTTTAACGTTTTATTTAGTTCTTAATGAGGACATTTTAAGAGTTTGCACTGTTTCATTTAGTAAAGTTTGACATTTTGAATAGTACATTTTTCTTAAAACAAAAAAGTTAGCTAAAACAATTAACAATACGGTAACAACTTAAGCAGCCCATCTAGGTTCATCGCTGTCCACTCGTAGGGAGCAGGATAATACTAAATAATAAACGTAAAAGTCAAATGATGTTTTTAATTACCGCTATTAGTTTATTGTTTTTATTACGAAACTCCTTAATATTAAATTTTCAAATTGAACTTGCATAATCCACGATTTTGAGCTGGCTCGACGACAACTCAATGTTCATTGTATTTTAAATCATACTAACCACATTAGAAACATTTAGAATACATAACGTTCAAGTTTATTTTCAATATCATAATTATAATACTAATTACAATGTGCTTAAAACTAACGTAACCGTTATTATACTAACGTTAATTGCTATTGTTAATGTATCTTAGTGTAATCCACCGTTGTGAGAGTTGTGCCATATTTGTTATTATTGTTGCTTAGCCGACTACTATTTGTGGGGTACCTAATGTTATACTCAAACGTGTAGCTGCCACAGGTTTATCGGTAGTATTTTGCACGTACTCGCGGGGGTAAATTATTAACAGCAGAAACATCCGGTGGTGCAAATCCCCGTTTAAGCCAGCCGTGTTCGCCCTACACCGTCAGCCGGGCTTCCCGAGTAATCCCGCTAAGTACCGACTAATAACCGGCAACCAAAAGGGATTTTCCTCCACGTGGCGCGGATAAAGTCTGACAGCATTTTAAACTTTCCGGTTGCTTTCCGCCGACCATATTGTAGGTACTTTAGTGACTGAAGAACGTGAAGAGTACTCCATAGATACATTGTAGTATTGTACTAATAATTAATTGAATTTTTTATTTGAGAAAAATTAAAATTTAAGAATGATATGCCTACTCTCATAGCATTAACTCTTGTCGATGCAATTACTAAGCAATTTAAAACTGTGAATACGATTTCAATTATTCGTTTCGAATAAATAGGTACCTTCTCTTCTTGAACGATGCTCATTTTCTGCCATGAAATATCATTAGTAAACGTGTGTATAACAATTTGTAATATAGTTTCATTAATGCGACTTCCGTCAAATGTATAATTTAACTAAGAGTCGTTAAATAAAATTAATATATATTTTTTAATTATTGAAATATTAAATTGGGACGCAATAGTGTGTTTATTAGAAAATTACACATACAGTACTTCCATTCCAATTATAAATCTAGAAAACCACTAATTTATACAGTGTGGGTATAACAAATCATAATTGGGTAAAAAATTGCAAAATACATTTACCGACCACTTTGGACAGACCACGTTTTCAAGAGGGCTAAGCGCCTGAAGATTATGCATATACTACTGCTATACATATTATATAGAATATCTACTACAGTAAATCATCGTGTATGGTGTAAATTCTAGAAAGCAATTAATTCACCTGCCCGAGGGCGCTATCGTTGTTCGTACACACTCGTCTCATCACATTTTTCGGATGTTATAATGAATCATTAGTACACACTTGTAATTTTCCGTAATGTTGTTCGTGTAAACTGTGTGTACAGGGTTACTCGTTCGAAAATGTTATTAATAAACCGTGTGGAATCTCTGGATTTACAGATAGCTTTTAAAGTGTTGTCGGATTCGCATAAAATAAAAAAACCGGCTTTCGGCTCTGTAGTGATTATATTATTAGGCATTTGTTTTCCTGCTTATACAACATATTTTGTTTGTTTGTATGGTGTTGGACGCATTAGTGTTATTAATTACTTTAAATAAGTCATACGACGTGTGGTTGACATAAAATTTACACTGTATAGATTTACTATACAGTTCTGAAAATGATGTCTGTTATTAATATGTACAAACAGTCTATACATATTCCAAGTAGGTACATATTATCAAAGAGTGCGTGACTGGAATAGTTTGAGCAAAGAGAGGTTTTTATCACGCCCAACTTTTTTACAGACACGTGCGGTTTTTCTCGTGAACAGTGTTTCTAGAAATTGCATACTGCAATAATGCAATATTAATATAATTGTTAATACCCTACTAGATGACGGTAACCAGCCATAACAGACTAGCTGTGGACGCCATACAAGCAAAAATAGTTAATTCTACAAGGCAAAGCATACATTTTAGTGAAAAGAATTAACAACATTAGGATATGAGTTAGTTTTAGAGCAATCGCCAATTTTGATTTTTTTTTAATAGGTATGTAAAATACAAAAGAGGCAAACCGTGAAACGCCAACGTCAGCAATAGTTAACACTGACTAAGTAGGCGGTAAAAATATTTAACCGAGTATTGTGTGTTTATTTCAACACACAATATTGTATAACACGTAAATTATTAAGATTTAATTACAGACATTTGTCAAATAAGCGATTACCCATGTTAATCAAATACTATATAATAGGAATAGTTTTAACCTTTATTGTCGTGATAACGAATAATATAACGGACAGTAACTCCTGCTTATCGTAAAAGGCGATTAAAAGGAGGTAGCGGAGGGCAGCAGTAACCGCTACTACCGACCATTGGCGAGTTTTGCAGCAAAACCAACGGCAATGGGAGGATTTGACGAAGGCAGTTTGGACATATTTCAAGTACTGGCTCGTCAACTGCGATGTGGAAGGAGATGGATACCACCACATTATTATTCCAAGTCAACAGCATGAAGAGAGAAGAATGGCCAGTAACAGAGAAGAGTGGAGGGAGTATGGAAGAATGCTGTATAACCAACCTTAAGGGTTGATTACTAAAGAAGAAGAACGGATAATATGAATTTGTGATAACATTATTAAACCAATTTGTACCTACGTTTTACATTTAATTTCTGGAGGCTAGACAAATGAACTAGTATTTAAACGACACGTTGAATGAGTTTATAGGTAGTTGCGATAAGTACATATATTATATATGTATACAAAAAACACTATCAATGTCTAACGTCCAACGTACAATATTGTATGAATACCGAGAAACGTAATACTCTATAGGGGTTTTCCGTTTTAGTCAGCAAATGTTTAATGTATAAATTAAAAACAAATTTTAACTACATTATGCAGCGTACCGCGGCGATATAATTTCTTGAGTAATTAAATTATTCATAATCACTGATAAGGTGAAGGTATTCCACCTATTTGTGTACGAACTCAAATATTTGCCGCAATCGCTTGGCTTATCTGTTGGCCGTTCAGATGCAATATTATTATAAGTATTTTACTTTGACAAAGGCTGTCGTCCAAATCTGTCTGTATTGCTACTTTGTTCTACCAGCCGAATTATCCCAGACGAACGTCATATTTGGTTTTATTTTGTATTCGGCAGGTCGAAACGGCACTTTAACCTACAACAGCTGTTCGTCATAACTCACAATACAAGTATTGACTTCGAACGAGTGTTGTTCTGTCATATATTCGACTTTTGCGTTACAGTAAGGCGATTTACAGTTTTTCGATTTTTCTAAAGGTCGATTTCGTCGATTGCCAGCGGCCTGACAATATAATGTTGTTATCATCAGAGTGTGACATGCGAAAATAGCAAATAGGCATCGAAAAAAGTAAATTTGTAAACACAACCGAAACTGGTTTATGTGCCAGACGACAGTCGTGAGTCGGTGGTGAAGGGTAGGGAGGGACGTGGCGTGCACGACAGAGTCTGTCTTAGTTATTACTTATTAGTATTCATCGGTCTGTGGTCTGGTAGGTACTATCTGTTGCACAGTCCGTCAACGCAGTCACGATGGTCGCCACCGGTTGTCCAGCTGCTGTATCGCCGGCAACTCTATTGATTTGGGTAGCATTGACCGCTTGTTTCTGTCTTCTTGCTGTCGCCGTCGACGGTAAGTCATTCAGTAATCAGATTTTTAACGAAAAATTGGGTTTTATTAACTTAACGAAGTGACGATAACCAAAAAAAAAAAAAAAGAGTACAAGTGACCTTTCTCCAAAAAGAAGTTTTCGACCATTGGCGATAACACCCAGCACAATATGTGTCTAATGAACGCCACACATAGAAAAAAAAAATTTAATTGTGCTCGTGTATGTAAAAGTCACTTGTACCCTTATGGTGTTCGACACCGGTCGGAAATCGAGTGTAAACAGCATTGAAAGGGGTTGCAGACAAAAAACAATAAAACGATAATATTATTATTAGTATCGTCAGTTTGATTATCGAGTGTGGTCGTAACTGTGGTAATTGGTAAGCCAAAACCCACACGAGTGTGCAATTAAAAGCGTTGAGCACGTGCCTTCACACTGGTTTTGAAAAAGCGCCGCTCAATTTGAAACGTTTCGGATAAAAACATCATAAAAACAACGTTCGAATGGGAAATTATAATGCAGTGTTACAACGGTCAGATGTCAGGTTTTTTTTAAATGTATTTCATAATAATTAAATCGCATTAACCGTTGATGAATTTTATCTCTCCCTCGTTAATTTGGCCGTACGGTTAAAATATATAAAAAATATCGTTCCAACGTTGATATTTATTTTCGAACAACAGCTGTTGTCGGAGTTACTACTTGGACACTGTTAAAGTGAAAGAAAACAACCTTTTTTTCCTGAGAATCGTCGGTTTACTTTAGTCCTTGTGCAGTAATGAAATCGGCTAGTTTGTCGCAAAGGCTAAACCGTGTTACCCGTTTTTATTTTCTCGGCGACCATAACGGGCAAGTCGGCCGAATGCTTGTGTCGACCTTTCCCCTTATCCCCCTTTTGTTTTAAGCGCCGTGTCTTAGTTTTCGGTACACGGCAGAGACGAGGGGGTAAAAGTAAAAAATAAAAATATAACGAAATTAGTATGTCGTTTGAATACCGTTGATCTTGGCTAAAAACGAAAAACGCCATCGTAAACAACGTAGCCGCGGTACCCCAGGGGAAATCACATGATGGCTGATAACTATAGCGGAAGAAAATAATGTATTAATATATAATATTATAATAATAATATGTGTTATTTTCTCGTCTAACGTCGTTCGGTCGTGTATAGGTATTATATCACAGAAATGCGTTTTCACGGCAGAACGCTCTGGTCGGATATAATACAAATTTGGTGCAAGGGCGAAATGCGGATTACTCTGCGCCTTACGAGGCGAACTAAGTTCTCGTCTGACAACATAATCTTCACTACTTGTGCCGACGACCGAAGAAACAACCGAACCGACTATATTATGAAGTTCAATGATATTTTGCCGAGTTAAAAACGTTTGATTTGCTTATTTGAAGGTTAATTTGTATATTTTTTTTAAGCTCCGGGGTACCTATTACATTCTGTATATTATTATACGTTTTGGTAGTGAAAGTTTTTAATTAATTTACATACATTTCTATTTTTTCTATACCCAGGTTTTATATGTATTTGTGTTGGAAAATAGCTTTGACATAAACATTTATTTGTAATTTTGAAAAATAATTAATTATAATATTTAGAAAAAGGAGAATATAGCTGTCGTATTATCACTTAAGTTGTTGCCAACAGATTGAAACTTGTGAAATTAAAAATAAACGTCTTGGTGTATCTATTATTGCAATGGGAAAAATATATATACCTAGACAAGGTATTGCCAAACAGGTGGGCGCATTAGCGACATTATGAAACAGCCAATGCGGAATTTGATGGGTATTTTTTTTTATGGAGATGTTTTTTTTTATTGGCGCATTGACCTCTATTTTGTATTCATATTCCACAAAAATTACAACAAATTACAACATATTGTTTGTAATATTCATATTACTTTTAAATTTGTATTTTCATAAACTATTTTTTTATGTAAATTACTAGTACATCAATTTAGATGGTGTCTTATAGTTGTTAAAGGAATAATTCCCATTAACCAGATGTTATAAACGTACTATATATGGTAGATCTTATAGTGTAACTAAAGGGAAAAATCTGAAAGTTACAATTTTCTCAAAATGGAAGCCGCTTTAGGGAGTGCACAATTAAACGCGCATGAGTATGGCTTAATTAGATTAGCACGGGTTTTTAATAATAATTAACCACAAATTCCCGCGCCGTCAAAACACACATCTCTTTTAGTGTTACACTATGACAATATAATTGTTTGTAATTGACAGTAAATACTTATCAACCATAATGTTTTCGTAATTGTATTGTACTTTATTTAATTTATCGGTCATCAAATACAGAATATTTTATTAATCGTAATAATATTATTATTTAATTCATTCTGTATACTATATACCCGTGTTATTCTTCGTCTGAGAATTCGTTCTAAGTATAAAAAAAATAACAAGTGCCGCTTATCTAAGCAAAATTGTATTAAGCAAAATCAACCAGACCCCTTCCAAAAAAGTCAGCCTATCAAAGTAGTGATATCTACATTGCGGCCGAGTCTGTTTTATGCATCATTCAGAAAGGTCATGTTTCATTCAGAAACTGGCCAAGAGTTAAGCAATACAAATAAAAGAGAAGTGATGCTCATGGAAGTAGGAGGAAAGTGAGGTTATGGACTAAAAAAAATAGCATAATATTAAATGAAATTATTAAATATAATTTTGTTGTTGTTATTACACCGAAGGACAAACGATTGCATATTACACCAAACCAAATACAATTTTGGATATTTTTTATGGTGTGTTTATATGTTGCCTTACGATTAAAAAAAAAGTATTCAAAATTAAAATAATATAATTTAACATAAATATTTTGTTCAGACCTTGGGTGAGATATTTGCAAATTTTCTATCTACATATTAATTCAAATCATTGTTTTATAGGCTAGTCCACGTCCAGTTTGGATGTAACTATTTGTGTAATTTGAATAATATCAACGACGTTTTCTATTTGTTTGCAGTATGATTTTCATAATCACGTCAACGCAACCTCAATATATTCAAATATTTAATGATTTCTCACTCTAGGTTAGGCTAAGAATACTCAAGGACTTCATTATAATTGTACAATGCCTAAACTTGTTGTCGCTCCCATATACTTTTTTATTTTTATTTTTTTATTTTTACACGTAATAAACAATCTGTATGAATTATACTAGACACAATAAGAATATGTGATAAATGTTATAAAATCATAAAGTTTTGTTGAAAGAAGCCACCCATTGATAACACTTTCTGTTAACTTGCTATTAATTTAATTTGCTCCAATATACTAAAGTCATAATAGGCAGCTATTATATTTGCAGATTTTAAAGTTAAAATTGTTTATTAAAATTATGAGCCGTGCAATTGTTATTATAAACTGTTGTTTATCAATTATGATTAATTCAGCTATGATCTACAAATATATTCTAAATAAAAAAAATCGATCAAATATAATAATTATTGTTTGTTAAGATTTTAGACACTATCGTTAAACAATAAACTCTAATATAGCGTTGGCTATTCGCAAAAGGCCAAACTTTGTGTTCGTCCAATTAATTGAAAATTAAACAAAAATAATATTCTTAGACCATCAAAAGTTTTTTTTATTTCACCTCATGAAAAATAAGTATTTTTAATTATTATTTACTTCAAAAGAAACTGAACTTGGTAAATATTTTACAATTTTTTTGTCCTAAATAATAAACTACATTTTCGCATTTATCTCAATTTTATAAGAATATTATAATTAATTAGACCCGACAGTATATTATGGTTTTAATTTTTATTAACTTGTTTAAGTAACGGCAGATGTACCATAATAACTCAGTAGGTAAGTAAGTAACTGTAATTATTATTATTAAAACGACATGCCAACAGCGGCAAATCTACTGAGTAAGATGTTTGATGGTTAAAAAATAGTATTTGAAAAAAGTCGCGTAATATTTCTGTATGTGGCTGTAGAACCATGTATACCATGTCTTATAATATATTATTTACCAACATACAAGTTGCAATTCAATTTTTGTCATTTGGCCATTTTCTGTATTTAGCAATTCATATAGTTTCATTAAACCCGACCAAATGGCAAAAAACATACGTATATAAATTATAAGTACTCAAGCCGTATTACATAAAAGATAAGTACATTTTTCAATGTGTGATGAGGCGGATCTAGGAATAAAAAAAAGGTAGGGGCTAAAAAACAATTCACTGCAAATCCATATTATAAGCAATAGTCATTGAGTTAAAGTGTACATAGTAAACAAAATCACTTGTACTGTAAAAAAAAAAAAATATTTCTAAATAAATAAACAAAAAATAGGCCTAAGTTTTGATACTTAAATCGGAGTCCAGAGAGGCAGTAGTATTAGCATATAATTAAAAAAAAAAAGATAAATCACGAACCATAAGAATTTCCAACATTAGTATTGATCTGCGAACATTAGTAGTGTAATCGGAGTAGAAGTCATTAATTTGTAAGTACGTAGTTGTTTCAATTAAGTCGATTGCAGACGGCATGCGACGAGCCAACACCGTTTTGACTTTAAGCGTGTGTAAATGTTTGTTTTTTGAGCGCAAACGGCGTAAGTACAGGGCAAGACTGCGGTCAAAACAAGGGACGGTAACACAAACAAGGGATTGGACGATGACGATGACACGGGTATTTGCAAAGGAGGACACGATATTATTGTTGTGGCACACCGCATACATCATTGACAAACGTCGTGTGACACAAACCTGACCGCTGGGATTTCGTTAAGGCAATAAAAGGTCGTCCGCCGCAGCCTTGGGATACATATAGTAGCATTTTTCTTACGGCCCGTTGACTTTTGAATCCGAACCGCAAGCGTTGTAAGTATGACGTTGGTCCCGTGACGTCAAAAATGGTCCGAGTCGAGGCGTACGACAAATTCGTATTATAAGTTAAAGCCGCTCGTTTGAATGTATCGTACACTATTAAAAATATTAGGTAAAATATCAATTTCAATTTAGATCAATGTGTAATTAACACTTGTGAGCAAAAATATTCGTTAACTTTATTATTATTATGAAACTGCAATTAACGCCGTTCTTATTACCATAGTCCGTACAATACCAACCACAGTATATTTACAACAATTTATGTTTATTAAATAACGTATTTTTTAATCCACCTAATTGGCGACCATTAAAAACCTATGAACCGAATGGTTAAAGTACAAATGATTAAACCACAAAGTACGTATCGGTGTTTGGGGGAGGTGCATACATTTTGATGTTGTGTGAAAAAGAAAAATTGCCGTTTCGCCCATTAATTTGAATACATTTTCCAAATTGAAACGAACGACTTCTCGGATCTTGAATCTCGACTTTATAAAATAAAGTAATTTCAACAGATTAAGTAAAAAAAAAAACAGCGGCCTAAGTATGTGGGTGGAAGATGGGGGCGATGAGGGGGGGGAGAGAGAGGGCGCCGAGCAATAAATCGTACTCGTGTTGTTGGGCCAGGGTTGTTTTCTCGCTAAACACCGGTGTGTAAAAAAAAAAAACCCAGGGAAAAATCTTACAAAGAAAGTAAAAAACTTTAGATGATAATAAACTGCCGGTTCGAAAACTTTTGCACCGCAAAACGGGTCATTTGTACATTCGGCTTATGCATAACAAAATGTGTCGAGTCCTCCCAATTTGCTTTTATTCCCATCCGGTGTCCGGACGAATCAATTATAATTATATGTGTTATAATTATCATGTGATGCATCCATACATTGTTTTATATTACAACCTCATATGAAAACAACCATTCATAATAAATAATAATATGACGTGTATTTGGTTTCAGGCAATGTCGTCCCGGTTGAAAAAACAGCAGAACATACAGAACGAGGTAATCTACGCAGTGCTTAGTTTAAATAAAAATATTTTAAGTGGTGTCATCAAAAAAATATAAAATATGTAAATGTCAAACAATATTGGTAACACACTTGATTATCTATGTATAATCTATATCGGGCTCAGTCTTATGATGACATGCCAGAATTTAAAAGTAACATTTTTTTATGCCTTTTATTTAAATGTTAAATTTTAGATCATTTTGAAGTCAGTGTTAGGGAAAAAACTCCACGATTAACCAAGTTTAAAGTTTTTTTTAAAGTATTATATCTGTATAAATTAAAACACAAAATTCGATATAAGTATACTCGTTTAAGTCGTTAACACCTAACGATTAACGATGTGTACAATTTATAATTTGATAAACTAAATATTTAAATTATAAAAATGATTACACTTAAACACAGACAAATTTTAATCTTATCCAAATACGTATAACATAATATAATCTTAATACATACTTCCTGAGCTATAAATTATTTCAATAAGTACCTTTACTTAGAATTTGATTAATTTTAAGTTATTGTTATAATGGCATAACGCTTATTACTACAATTTATTCATCGGTTAGCCATACATTTTTTATTATCCAACACTCTTAAAGAAAATAAATAGAATATAGATGCAACTGATATTGCAACTAGTATCTGATTTATGCAGTTATACATATTATGTATTTTCCTTTGAGGCCGTATTCTCTATTTTTCGTTGTTGTACGTTGATCAAGTCGGGAATTGTACGTCCTGTGTCCTATGTAAACAATAGGATTATAACAGCCTTCATTATATTTTGAGAAATAGAATTACTAGAAAAATATTTATATTATATAATAAAGGTTTATTATTATATAAAAATACTACATTTATGTTGTTTATTAAAGGTTAAGAACATTTTTTCGGAATTTTTAAAGTTTTAACTCAACGGAATGTCGATGTACACTACTAATGTAGTGTAATAAAGATTGTTTATTGGCAGTGCATTTTTTTTTAAATCAAACTTCCAAAAACGTTCAATGTTATTTTCATTTTTATTCCTCAGCCATTTTATTTTGACTGTAGTAGTGTTAGAATTTTAATATGTTGACAACACTTGAAAATCAATAATGTACAACGCGTGTCAAGAGCTTTTACTGTTATAGTGACTCGGTTAATCTTTTTTGAAGTTATTTAAAACAGAAAAATAATATATTTTAAAATTAAGATAAGTATATCGACAAAAACGTATGATAAACAGTTAGTATTACACAATTTTCTAAATTCCAAGTGTTCTCAAAATGTCAAAATTCTGGTGCTTACGAACAATAAATGGTGCGTAATAATATTTTAATTTGGGTTTGGTAAAAATGTACAATGGAAAAATGTTAAGAACAAAATGTCTAGAGAAAACGAACGTTTAAAATAATTGTCTTAGGGCAAAATTGCTTTTGTATTTATTTCTTATGTCAAAAATAAACAAATAGCTGAGTAATAAAAGAAAGAAGAATTTTGTCCTATTCTACTTATTATTCGTTTCTCGTCTGAAATTATTGTAATTATTTAAAAGAGTTTTTTTTTTAATAATTTCTAACTAAAAAAAACACACAAGTTTTATTCGGACATATAATTAACATGACTTGTTGAGATAATGAAACTAATATGGGCATTTTTGTGCTTGGAAATTATTTTCTCCGGACATTTTTATCTAGACCTCCTTTTTTTCAGTATCATAATGTATGTTATATTCATGTTAATATTGTGTAACGCGACATGTTTTATTACACATTTAATGGTTCGTTACATTTTGTGTATCGTCTGTTTGTAATAATATTTTGGAGTTTGCAAATAGAGATAGACATTCTGACATCTTGTGTCTGGTCTAGTGAAAATAACAGCTGTTATTATGTTGTTGCAGACAGACAGTATTGGATCGAAAACGCCAAAGACAAGGTGACCGAGAAACTAAAGTACATCAATAAGAGAGGTGTCGCCAAAAACGTTATCATGTTCCTGGGCGACGGTATGTCGGTGACTACATTGACGGCTTCCAGGATTTATCAGGGACAGTTGAAAAAACTGACCGGCGAGAGCGAATACTTGAGCTTCGAGAAATTCCCTTTTGTGGGCATGTCGAAGGTGAGCTGGGGGAAAATTGCATTTTTATAAAAAAAAAATACCTACCAAGAATCATATTATAGTTGTTGCATTAAGGGTAGTGCGCGTTTATCGAACACAACGCGGTATGCGCATTATTAAAAAAGTTGGATGGCTGCATAAGAAATTTTTTTGTTTTATGTTTTCTATGTGTATAGAAATGCATTTCCGGTTAGCAATGCGTGGAATCTGATTAATTGTTTATCAAAATTCGACGAATTGTTAATTTTTGAAAATGGCCGATAAAGTGTTGGGAGAATTTGATAAAATAAATAAATTATTATGTTTATACTCCTGTCTAATTGGTGCAATTTCAGTGACATAGAAATGATTGAATCAGCCAATTTATTGGGTTTCATTGGGTTTTAGTAGTAGAAGACAATGTAACATTTGTAAGAAACTCTAGTAATTATTTAAAACAATTCATATTCTAAATTTACATTTGATAGTGTCAGAAAGTGTCGGGTATCATATACATAGGTGCCATGAAGCGCTTGAAGTTTTAACAAAAAAAAAACACAGATAACTCGAATTACAGATAATACAGTATGTTAATTCAGCAAGTACAGATGATACGGACTAAAATACTAACTAATAAAAGTGAATGTATACATTTCAAAATATGTACATTTTAAACAGGGCAATCGCTCTACCGTGTGATCATATTTCTTTTTGTTTATACTATGTGTTAAATTTAGAGTTCATAACGTTATTTATATATTCTCAATAAAAACTTAGACAATGTTACATGTACTTAGTTATTAACAATTATTCGTGTTTGATGTTCTTCATCGATACAACGAAATTGAAAACTTAAGTATTTTTATTTCCCGGTTTTCAAAAATATTCAAAAAAGTTGCTGTCAACTTTCTATTAAAACCGTAAATATTAGAGCAGACCCGCAATAATATTGCTTAACTACAACTTATTATTTCAATCACTGTTCCAAGTACCAACAGTGTAAAACATCTTGTGCACTCAATTCATTTTTACTAGATACTTATATATTTTGCCTTCTAGGGCCTCCATATGTTATATTCATATGTAAATGGTAATCCCTCGACAGAATACGGAAACTCTCTAAAGAGGTATTATAACATTGATTATTAATAAGCAATTTGAATGCAGTAATACACCACGTTCATTAAACAGTAATTTGCCCATTGCATAGTCGCGAATAATTTATACAATTTATTAACTCGACTACAGGTACTGCACTAACCTACATGAAACCTATAAATAAAATTAAAAAAATTATTAATATGTTAATTTATTAATCTATATAATTGACTATTTGAATGACAGGATAACACATTTGCTAGTATGTCCACATAGGGAGCCTCTTGCTGCTGCGTTCTTTGAGCTACAGCCTATGCTTTAATTAGGGTGAAAAAGGTAGATGGTGTTTTTTAAACGTGTGAAATTAATAGACTTAACCTTATAAGTCGTCGACCGTGACAATTCGTCAAAATGATACCACATTGAACATTATAGACCTATCTATTGAATTTAAAGACAAAAAAAAGGAGCGGGAGTCAAAGGTTTACAGGAATTGTTATGACTGAATGTAATAAAATCGCTTTGATGCTTATCTGTGAACACTGCACCTCACTTTAAAAGATTTAACGTGGTTATTTTAAAATATACAAAATCTGCGAAAAAACATAGTTTTCCGACAATTAAATAAAATCTGTAGTCCGTGTTTTTTCTTCGTTCAGTATGGATACATAGGAGTTTTAACTGAAATTATGCTAGTTAAAGTATAGTTTTTTCCTTGTTTTCCGGATTGTAAGGGTGAAGGAGTAAACTTTTTTAACTTAACAATTTGCGTTAAAAATTTGCGACTTATTTTAAACGCTACTCGAAGGAATTGGTCTAGTATTAAAAAAAGTTACACTGTACACAAAAAAAAACCCACATCATAATAAAACCAATAGCCTCTCAGCTCCGCGTCGAAACTAAAAATGGTTTCCCGTGGCGGGTAAAACAATGGGACTTAACGGCTTAGGTATATGTATTTATATATAAATTGTATTAAAACGTCAAGGCAACGGCGACGACGACTAACCGATGGCGATAAAAAAAATTGTCAATTATTATTATCAAAACAACAGTAACTTGTGACTTCTTGGTGCAAGACCGAAGAAGTCAAATTATTTAGAACTTTATAAATATACATATATATGAAGTATAGCCGTCGCAACATCAGTACGGTAACCGTCCGACGAAGATAAATCATCTCGGGTAAACCTCTTAACATTAGTGTTTGCCAGTCTGTGTTCCCATTCATATCTCGCACTATGCCGACGTTATGCAAAAACTTTTTCTCGATACTCGCACGTGACTTACCCCTTACAAAAGTCTTGCAGGTAACACGCACGTCCTCCGGGTTAAGCGTTAGATGTTTAAGGCGATCGCTTTTGTGTGTCGGTCATAAAAATAAACACTAGGTCCTTATGTTTTTGTTAACGCGTTTCTTCTCGATATTCAACTCTCGACGGTACTCTGCGAACGTTTTCCAAAACAATCGCACTGGGTATATCTAGTAAGTAATTCCGGCGAAAGGTCCGCAATTAATTTTGCATATAAACTCCATAAGACGTTTGGTTTTATTCCGGCAGTTCGACCATTCCCATCCTGTACCGGATGTGAACTCATTGGCCGTTTGGATCGTCTGTGGACGATTTAAACGTTTTACGTGCCTTGTTTTTATTTGTATTATTTTACTTATCTAGAAATTAAACGTTTAACTTAAAAACCTTGTTGATCTCAATAACCGAATTTGTAAAATTAATTGATATCAATAACGCCAAAAACTAAGAAGTAATTATGAAAAAAAAACCTAACCTTAAACTTATTACCTTCTCTCAAAAATGTTACGACTTTGTTACAAAATACATTTTCATATGAGAGAGATAGAACGAAGAGCAGAGAGAGAGAAAGGGAGGAAAGTACCATTGATTTAATACATATATGCATTCACGATTTGTACACGTTATTTATAAGTGTTGACTCTGGATAAAAAATCTTGATTTCGTTTTATAGCGACATGCCTGTTTATATTTTTAAAAAACAAAAAAATGTTTGTCAACGATGATTAGGGTTCGGTATGGCGTTAATTGATATCTAAGAAAAATGCGTGGTAGTATATAGTATATTATACTATTATTATTATAATAGTTTAATGCGCCGGGGGGCATAATAGGGATGACAGCTGTCGTGGACAGAAGCTCGGCAGTGTATGGATGAAGGGTTGGCGTTATGAATATTAAACGCCGTTAATAGTTATTAATTTCATAATCCAAGGGGTGTTTAAAAAAAACCTTCTATAAGAATAAAAACAACATAGGAAGTAACAGGAACGGTAATAATAATATGATCAGATTTTCGGCTGTTATAATTATTTAACAACGAATTCGTCATCGAAAGTAACGGCCATATTGTTTTATAGCGACGTAGGATAAATTATGTTTTTGTCAAAAATTATGTAAAAAATATTTTCGCATTTTTTTTTTTACGTATAAATTTTATAATTGAATTTGGATCATATTATCCATGCAGGTCTGTCAGCTAATACTGAGTATGTTTTCATGCGCATTTATTTCTTACATAGAATTACCATGAAGTACTTTATATTTTTATAATACATTATTTTCTTTTGTTTTTTCAGACATATTGCGTAAACAAGCAAGTTTCGGACTCGGCTTGCACGGCCACAGCATACTTAACGGGCGTCAAGGGTAATTACGAGACGGTAGGTCTGTCGGCGGCAGTAGAGCTTTTCGATTGCCCGGGATCTGTGGCTCAGGAAAACAGGACCGACTCGATATTGCAGTGGGCCCAGAAAGCTGGGAAATCCACCGGTGTAGTGACCACCACCAAGGTAACACACGCCTCTCCAGCTGGTACATATGCGCACTCGGCTCACCGAAACTGGGAATCGGACTACGATTTGGCGAAGGCGGCCAACCTGACAGACATATCACAGTGTATGGACATAGCCAAACAACTTGTCACCCAAGAACCGGGCAAGGATATTAACGTGAGTTTGGAATATGTTTATTCCATTATTCGAAAACGGATTATTTTATATTGACAGTTTTAATACCTACACCGCCAAAGCTTTTGTTCGGCTTCGGATCTGACCCTTCCGGATCTGAAGTACCCATATTATGTGCCGATACTATATCGGTAACATTGAGGAATACAATATCAAACGTTTGATCATAACCTTCATTCGGCTAAGCTGAATCAGGTTATCTAAAATTAAATTGTTTCCATTTAAATAACATTTAAATACATTTCTAAAATAACGCACGTTTCGTAACATCTTTGTAATCACGGCTAAACTTCTTTAGTCGTCGTTGTCTGAAAATGGCTAAAATACAAATTACTTAATAAAACAGTATGTTTTAAATATTAAGTCCTATTGAAATACATTAATGAGGTGTTTCGTATCAAACTCCCAAAAAAAACCATGAAAATGTTCACCTGACTAGACCATGCTATTGGAAGACATGGATTAGTTTACAATAAAAGTACCTACCTTTGTCTTCGACAAATAAAAAAAATCCTATTAATATTGATTTTTCAATACTTAATAATAATAATTATAAGATATATCCTTTATCAACTATAAAGTACCTAATTATGTATGTTTGAAAATATCACAACTCGTAAACAGATAAGTTCAATTTTAGGCGTTAGAAATAAAAAAAATACTGTTTTCTACATAATTAGATGGTAATTAATTTCGTATTTTTTTATAGGTGATACTAGGAGGAGGACGCAACAAGTTTTTTTTGGAGAACAGTATTCAAAATGGATCCAGGTCAGACGTTGATCTTGTTCAGATGTGGAAGAACGACAAGACGAATCGTTTCATGGGCTCTTCGGCAAAATATATCGAAGACAGAGATAGTCTGTTAAACATTGATCCTTCAAAAACTGATTACTTATTAGGTTAGTTTTGTTAAAGACATTAATTATTTTTTTAAATACATCAATGACATTTAGGTTTTACTGTTGGTGTTTATTTCTATGTGTATAGTGTTAGACTTGTTTGATGTTGGGTTCTCGTATTACTACTTCAATGTTGTTTACTAATGACGTTCATACCTTATCATGTCCGTACTCCAGTGTATTATTATTCAAGATTAGAATCTTCTACGCGTCGAAATTAAAAGTTTTATTAATGGAAATTGTTTAGCCACTCGATACTTCCATCAAACTTTTTTAATGAACATCACTTGTCACATGTTAATTTATTTCCATTTTCACATCACGGCGACCGCCAATTTCAAACTTTGTTGTTTTTCATTACCGGTAATATTTCTTCTTGCATGAATAAGTTGCTTTATAATTTCTCTGAAAAATCTAACTACTCTCTTAATTTATCCATAGGTTTAGATGCCAAATTGTTATTAACACTTTAAATGTTTTAACTATAAATAAATAATAAACACATATCATACAACTATTATATTAAATTTGATAAAATGTTAAAACAAATTCAAAAAATTAATGTTATACTATTTGTTTTGATTAGTATGATAACATAAACAAGCCGTATATTTATTACCGATTTAAATTACAGAACTTAAATATTTAAAATAACTAACTTCAAACAGGCGCTAATCTAGGGGATGGATGATAAGAAACCCTTTGGTTATTTTTTATTATTATAATATTTTAAACAATATATATATAACGATGGCGAAATATCAAGTTTGCCAAAAATGATTACTGGTTGATAGGAGTGCTATATTTTATTTTATGACATATTATATTGCCTATTTTGTGTTATTTTTATAATATGAAAAATAATACCACAGAGCGATTAAGGTATAGAAATCACTGTATAGTAAAGTAGGAATATTTGTTGGAGTTGTGGGAAAGACAAATGCCGCCTTCCCCAAAGTACTATTTCTAGACGAGATTGATTTCATATAATTAATTTATTTTGACAACATGTATGAAGTCATTTGAAAACAATTCGTAATAATACTTTCTCCTTTTAGGTCTCTTCGCTAAGGACGACATGGATTTTCACTTACTAGCCAACCCGACCAAGCAACCCACGTTGGCGGAAATGACCAAAACGGCCATCGAAGTGCTGTCGAAAAACAAAAACGGGTTTTTCCTGTTCGTCGAGGGTGGCCTGATCGATTTGGGCCATCACCAAACCAAAGCCAGACTTGCCCTGGACGAGACGGTGGAGTTCTCCAAGGCCGTACAACAGGCGGTCGACATGACCAAAGAGGACGACACCCTTATCGTTGTCACTTCGGATCATTCTCACACAATGACCATGGCCGGTTATCCGGATAGGGGTAGTGACATACTCGGCGTGGCGACCACCTCGTCCACTGATGCCATGCCGTACACGACCCTCAGCTACGCCAACGGTCCCGGCACGGTCAACGGACAGGCCTTGGGCTGTGCCAGGCAGAACTTGTCCGGTGTCGATTTGAGTGAGTTCCTTATCGTGTCTAGAGCTTGATACGGAAGCCCGACATCGCGCTGCCATCGTTATGTGATTCCATGCTGATTAACAATGCAAAAGGAATCACAATAACGATGAAGATAATAATAAAAAAAAAATATGACATTTTTCAAACGTTAACGGGCGCATCGATTGCACGGTAATATTTCATAAAGCCAATGACGTGAACGATCCGATTTCGTGAGTTTTTTTTTGGAATTCAAGGCAAGTCCTTGCCGTGTGTCGACACGAGGGCCAACCGTTGCGGGTATAAATCGGTTGATGACTACTAGCTCGGGACATGCGATCGAACGTTTGTGTCTTTCGGTCGGTAGGTAGGTAAGCGCAAAGTAAAAAAAAAAAAAAAACAATGAATTCTTAATACTGCCAAAGGCTCGAAAATCTTCGACGCGGTACAGCTTTAAAATAAAAACGAAGACGGCGATTATAATATACCAAATTCGTGAGTTTGCCGACAAGACTTGTGATAACCAAACCAAACAAGTTGAGTCGGCAACCACTGTTCTCTTTTCCTGTTGTTGTCTAACCCTCGGTGCATACTAGTTGCATCCCGATGGCCCCCTTAATCGTAACCAAAATCTTATCGTAACATTAGGAGGTTTTCGTTAGTTGCCTCCCTTTTTAAGTGTCATGGGGTACAATTACAGTACCAGTGGTTCCCAATATCGTAAAAAATGCTTGTATAATGTATCAAAATCTTTTTCTTGTCGAGTCCCACATTGTATTATAATAAAATATCTATTATAATTACTACATTATATTTGGCGTTGTGCCAAACACCTACGAAATTATTTCACGCCGAGTTAATAGAAAATAATGTAGATACTCGTACCTTTACAAATACAGATGCTTTTTGTAATAAAAAAATTTGCATAGAGTTCGTACAAATATGTGGTAAAAAATACCTAAATCTCGAAATAAAGTTCATATTACGTTAGATATCATTGACATAAAGTATGTATATAAACATTTCTGAAAACATAATAATAAATCTAGTGGTATAATTATGTTTTCAACCAATACCAACATAGAATTTTTATCATATTTAAATGTATTGTATGTTGATGGAACATTCCAATATTGCACTAAGCATTTCTGCTATTTACTTGTAATGGTTTAGTAATAACGATAATGATATTACTTAAACCACTAAAAAGAGAAAAATTTAATACAATTTTAAGGTGCTTTTAGAACCTTTGTTTCTTTAGCGGGGTGAAACTAGTGCATGAAATATTTAATCCTACCTAACTCTAGGCCTACCTGAATTCCACGTACCTAGATTATAATACTATGTCATGTTGTCCCTTTGCAGCACCCATAATTGGTACTTGACGGTTAACGGTATTAAAAAATAACATGCTATATCTATAACTGTCAGTTGTTTTATCTTATATATTATACACAAATATTGGTTTATTTTGTTAATTAGTGTACCATACGTATACAAACGATTAAAATACACTTGACTTATCTTGCTGGTTTTTAGTGCGGTCATACCACAAAAACATTACCTTCTTTCCATCCACTTTTAGTCGGCATAACATTTACTACCGCTAATTATTTTACAATACACTTTTAATCTTTTAAATTCGCTCTAATCTGTAATTAACGACCAAATTACGGAAAAAACAGTAAGTCACGTGTTTTGTATTAAGCTATTAGATGTAATAGTGCAAAAATAGCAATGTAATTAAATAAATAGTTAGTTTTAAAAAACCGACCTCTACTTGCTGAAACATTTTTTCCGACTTATTAAACTTAACTTATTTCCGTCTTTATTGAGTAGGAAATTTAACATGTAATTAATTATGTTAATTATTTAATGTTATGGTGTCGTAACATGGTTAAATCGGTCCTCGCGTGTTCGTCACCCGTCAAAAGTCTCATTCGTAGGAAGTACATTGTTGTTGTAGGTCAGTTAAGTAGTCGACTAACGAATTGCACGTTATTTGACTTGACGTTACAAACAAATATTATTATGAATTATCGTTAAAGACAAACCGCCGTTGTTAAACTATAAAAAAAATGGACTTGGACCATGAGAGACCTCCTTTACGGGTGCAGTTGAGTGTAAAACTTAACAACCTGTAGATTGAGATGGAAAAAAATGGCACTGCGTTTATTAGATGTTGTTGGGCATTCCGGTTAGGTCTCTTCAGATTAGGATTCTTGCACACTGTATAGTGTAATCTGAAGTATTACAAAACATAATTAATTTTTATTGTTTTTTTTTCTACAGCGGATCCAACCTACATGTATCCACATCTGGTACCGTTAAAATATGAGACCCACGGCGGTGAAGACGTAATGGTGTTCGCCAGAGGCCCTTGGGCTCATCTGTTTACCGGCAACTACGAGCAGAACGTGATACCAGTGACCATGGGCTTTGCAGCCGGCATAGGACCTGCCGCCGACCCCAGCGCCTTCAAGACAAGTGGTGGCGTGTCTTCGACCAACAGCTGTACTTATCGGGTTTTCGTGTTGTGCATTGCTTCCTTGATCGCGACACTCGCTCACAACATAAGATGAAAACAACAAACTTGTTTTACTTATTGATTTATTCACGACGACTGTTATGTTAGAACATAGTGTATTATAATTATTATATATTTTTTATCCCATTTGTTTAATATTGAACTACGTGTACTAACTATGAAGTCTTTGACCTACGGATACCGTCCATCGTCACTGTCCGTTGTACTTAAAGTGTGTAATAAACTTATTTTCGTTTTTTTTAATTTTTATAATGCTTTTAAAGTACTATCATAGCGAATAATTGTATTACCATGCCTCGGTCAAAGAGAACATCTTTTGGTTTTTAAATTCTTGGATACGGAAATTATTTTTTCCCTCACTAGAATTTTTTGTCGAATTGCAATATAAATCAATTATGCATTATCAAAACGTATATCCACACCTTGAACGGATTTCTGTAAAAAATGCCTATAACTTCATTAGGGCTTCTGTGAAAAATCATAATATAATAACACTGCTCAGATCGCATTGAATAAAAAAATATTGCTATTATACTACTAAAAAATCTATATTGTTTGACACCGTGCGATTATAATTGGAGAAAATACATTTTTTAGAAGCTTAATTTATTGCTGGGCGTTAGGTGGATCATACAAATAATGGATATGAAAAACGGATTTGTTTTCTTAGTGTTTTTTTGAAAATTATCAAACGGCTAGTAACGGGGAGTAAAGTTGAACTGACTTTTTTGAGGTAAAACAATACAATATGACAACAAACGGACCGAATTGAATGCGAAATAACGACCATGACAAATGAGGTGGCTGATTGCGACGCTTACTAAAAACTGTTGTTTTCGCATAAGCGCTTTATATTGTCTTTGCTAGCTTTTTTTTCATCCGAATACGACCGCACGCTGTGTGTACGGAATATGTAATAAGCATTGGCTTCGCCTCAGCAGACCATTGTATAATAGGTGTGTTTTAAACACATAATTGTTCTCAACGTCGTTTGCAACAGATAATATTCAAAAAACAAAATACATGTCTCTCAGTACCATTTTGCATTAGCAAAGTATCGTTTTATAATCCAACCGCTGCGACTTGTAACGTGCTTAAGTAATAAATAATTGTTTAAGTCTTTGGTAAGCTAAAATTAGATTGTTCCATCGTAATCGCAACCGGTTCTTAATTTTTCGATTATTAAAGCCACAACAGCGGTATACACGAATATATGGTGAGTAATTCGGTTATGTGGTCATACGGCTTTTGCATATTAGTCGGTGCTCTGCTGGTGGGAGCCGAAGTAAATGCAGCCATTGAAGTCAATGTGCCCATTGACAGTGTCGCTCAACGAGAATCCGGTAAGTATCGCTAGTTGTATTATTGTGATTTTTTAGTCTCGCCGATTTTCTGAAATACTGATTCATAATTTTAAATTTAACAAATAAATATTGTGAAATATTACTTCCGTTAGAAAATTAATAACAGTAAGTGCTTTTATGGACTATTTAAGTTATAAAAGCAAAATCATAAGTAATGGTACCTACTTTTTTTTAATTGATCTAAAAATGACATTTTAATGAAATGTTTTTATTTTCTATAACAGACAAATAATAGTATACTGTACACATTTAATAAATCTCTGTATTAAACAGTAGGTTCATTTCCATACGCAAACGTTATATTCATCGACTTACGGTTTGTTATACTTTACTTCTAGATGCAAAATATTGGGTGGAAGCTGGAAAGAAAAATGTAGCGGAAAAGTCAAAGTTAGCGCTGCGGACCAACACCGCCAAAAATCTCATAATGTTTTTGGGAGATGGCATGTCTTTGACTACGTTGACAGCCGCTAGAATTTACAAAGGTCAACTGATAAATTATACTGGCGAGAGTGATAATTTGAGTTTCGAACATTTTCCGTTTACCGGAATAGCAAAGGTAATAAACGCAATTTCATAAATCATACCGCGAGACATTCAATTCTGATAAAATATTTTCCACTATATAATTTACAACAAAGACTTATTGTGTGGATATGCAAGTCGCCGACTCCGCGTGCACGGCCACAGCGTACTTGGCTGGTGTCAAAAACAATTTAGGCACTATAGGAGTATCTTCCAAAGTGAAGCAGTACGACTGTCCGGCTTCGGTCATCGACGATAACCCGGATTCTATCATGAAATGGGCTCAATGGGCCGGCAAGGCAACAGGAATAGTGACAACCACCCGGGTCACTCACGCCTCCCCGGCTGGAGCTTTTGCGCATACTGCCAACAGGGACTGGGAATCGGACGCTGACATGTTAAAACACCAAAATATAACCAACATCACCCAGTGTGAAGACATCGCAAAACAATTGGTAACCAGAGATCCGGGCAGGAATTTCAAGGTGAGCAAAGAAACGATTGATCAGTACACCCGACCTCTTGTTGGGTGTTCGAAGGTAATAGTGTTGTATTCATTAACGTAGGTTATAATGGGCGGCGGAAGGAATAAATTTTTGTTGAAAAATGGCAAGACCGCTGAACGTTCGGACGTAGACTTGGTGGTACAATGGAAAGAAGACAAGAAAGAGAGATTTGAGAACGAAAACGCGGTGTATATGACTAACAGGGAAGAGCTCATGACGACAGATACGTCGAACGTAGACCATTTATTGGGTAAATACAAAATATGTAGATGAGGTACTATTCGTTTTGATATTAAGTTAGCATAACACAACTGGTTTAGGGTTATTCCACGACGACCATCTCGACTTCCGGCTAAAGTCGGACGTAGTCAAACAGCCCACTTTGCAGGAAATGACTTCCAAAGCTATACAAGTGCTCCAACGAGAAAAGAACGGATTTGTGTTGTTTGTCGAAGGTGGTCTCATCGACAAAGGTCATCACGCTACCTACGCTAAAATAGCTTTGGACGAGACCGTTGAACTCTCCAAGGCCGTTACGGCAGCCGTAAAACTGACTAGTGAGGACGATACTCTTATCGTGGTCACATCCGATCACGCGCACACCATGTCCATGGCGGGATATCCAGCTCGAGGTTCTAACATACTAGGGACGTCCGGTTCGTTAGCAAAGGACAACATGCCTTATACGACTCTGAGTTATGCCAACGGACCGCAAAGCAACAACGAACCGACGGATTGCCGCAGAATGAACATGACCAACGTTGATTTCGGTAAAAATAGTAATTTTATATTTAGTTTTGTTTTGCTAAAGAAATATTTAAAAAATTTGTCGCATAAAAATTGGACAAGTCCCTGTTTATATTGTGGGTACCTGTTGAACTGTATTATTTTTTTGACAAAGATAACGTCGACCTGAGGTATCCGAAATTGGTACCGTTGAAAGATGAAACTCACGGTGGCGATGATGTGATGGTGTTCGCAAGAGGACCCTGGGCTCATTTATTTACTGGAAACTACGAACAGAATACTATACCTTTGGCTATGGCTATGGCTGCAGGAATTTCAACAGATCCTCCACAAAATAGCGCATTTTCGTTAAACCATCACTCTAACAGTGTAGTTGGAGCATTTATTTTTTTCTATTTTCTTGTACGTCATACCGTTGATTTTATCTAATTGATCAATAACCCGTGGTTTGTACTACTTGTTTTTTGCAATTAACTTGCTGATGAGAATTTAATATTTATATTTTATTTATAACTACATTACAGTAGGTACGTCATTTAATATTTACATAGCGTATTTGCGTAAATTTAAGTACTCTTTATAAACAATACTTCTACTAGCATAGAATTAAAGGCGCTGTAATCAGTATTTAACAATACTTATGATGTTTTTAGTCTAATGCTTGTAAATCTTTTTCTGGCAGATATGACGCATGTGGAAACTCTTATGATGTCGGGTGTTTAGTTTAGCTTTAAACGATATCGTTTACCCTTTGAATAAAACAACTTAAATCGTTCATAAAAAAGTAACAGGAAAGTAGTGTATGTTAGGCTTAGTATTAGGTTAATCCGATTGAAGTACTTCTTTATTCTTACAAGTACATTTTTTTATAACTAACACTATAAAATTACAATGATCATAATGTGTTTTAGGGAAGGAAAAATATAATGAATACTGTTGGATTTTTCCCCCTGAACGTACCTGTGAATTTAGTATTACCTAGGTTGTTTTTAAACTTCCTAATTGCTAGTGTTACCTATTATAACATAATTAAAATCAATTTTTTAATGTAAAATTATATGTTACCATCTTCGGATCGCGACCAGATTTATCTCAAGTCTTAACTCGTTACTAACATACGATTACATTGTACTTATTTGATAAACTACAGAAAACGCTCGAAGTTTCATAAATATATTACAGTACCGGTACAGGTATTCTTTGGCTTTTGTGGTTCACCTTGAAGGAGTTCTCTACGACCACGGACCGACTAGCAGTGAAAACTACAATATATTGCTTACTTAAACAATGCTTTTTAAATAAAATTGTCACTTATTCGCCGCTAACTTTAGAGTTACTCTGTTAAAGGCACGACTGTCCGTTGAGTACCTCGGCTGAAATATGGAACAAATATTCTGTCGCCATATTGGAGTGTTTAAAATGGTCTATACTAGGGCACTAGGTACATTGTTTTAATAATTCTGACATAGTATCTTCATTAAGTGCAGTATTAACAGCTAATTGTAAACTAAGAATTGTACAATAGACTTGGTATTTTATATGTGTTATCAGTTATCACTGACTATTATAGTATGAATTGTCTGAACAGCATTAACTAATTATTTCGGATTATCAATAGAATAATAAACCTTATCGTCGTTTATTCCGACAAAACCCTGAAGTACTTTATTTTATTTTATAATAGGCCTTAATTGGACCCTTAAGTACTTAAAGCAATATGATTTATTATTAAACACTTACGTGAAAGTCGTGCATTATACGTGCAACTAATACTAACCTATATTAAAAAAATTGATTTTATATTATTCGTATTCACATGATCACGGAACAGTGATAATTTATGTATAATGACTATTACATTTGTAATTATTTTTTACTTTATTTTTTTCATTTAAAAACCACTTGAGTAAAAAATATGAACATGTATTATTATTGATGAGGACCTGCACTAAAGTTTAATTAAGTTAACTGTCTTTCGAGGTAAAAAATTGTACCATGTTTTTTATATAACTGTAAAGTTAACCTGGGATGAGAGAACATATTAAATAATAGGGAAGGAGTATATTGGGGCGGGGGGAAGGTCACAGGTCTATATGAATTATTACAACTGAAAGTGGTTAAATCACTGCGAATCTTTGTTTTGAAAAAATTGTATATGTTATAGTTCTATTTTGGATTTACCTTTGTTCTAATTTTCAGACCTTAAACCTCAAAATTTCACCTAAAAAAAGTCAAAATAAGAAAAAGTTTATCAGTAGTACTATTTATAACGAATATTCCATACAAATTTGGAACTAATTCGACTTTTTTTTTAAATGTATAGAGCGCCGTAATTTTAAATAGAAAAATATGTACATTTTTTTGGTTTTTTATAGACTTTGATAGGATGAAAAAAATTTTAGGTTTAGAAGATTATGTCTAGACGGAAAAAAACACATCATTGTACTAAGTATTAAAATGTACACATGTATTAAAAAATTAATTTTTAATTTATTTCGAAAACTGTTAATGTACTTTTATAACATTGAATTCTATACGAGTCGATGTAATAGATTAAGAAAATTATTTCAAAAATAAACTAAAAAGCATATGAAATGCGAATAAAAAAAATAATTTTTCCAATAATTCTGACAACATTTTCATTAAATGTTTATTTTTGTAACTGGCACTTATTGGATCCATAATCAACGTCATCGCATATATTTGTATACACCATACTCATGATATATATTCGTATACAAGTTGTCATATCGCACCGGAAATTAGAACACTACACTATTGAGTGAATGCTTTTGGCGTAAAAGAGATCTCATTTTGGCGTAAATGTCAACTGTAATATTTTTCTTTTCAATTTCATTTGTCAAAACGCAAAAAAAAAAATAGGTGTGATTTCTACTGAAAGGAGAAAGATAAAACTATAACAGCTTAGCATAGTTTATAATACAACAAAGCTTAGAATACGAGCTGAGAAGAAACGTGTAAAATCTAAATATTTATTCTTTTATCACAGTAATGCGCAGTTTAAGCCTAGAACAACTTTATTTGTCTTACAATAGCTATCGGTAATTACATTTTTCGTCATATTTTATACTCACACTAAGCATAGTTCCAGAATATAATATCTGTACGACGCGTTACACACTTGTATATTGCGCAATTATTTTAATTCACACGGCATAGACAATAAAGATAGATCGATAGATGATTGGAAAACCATAGCCTAATGTAATTATAAATAAAAAAAAGATCATTGAAGGCACCGCACCTTATTCTCCTACCGTGAGCAAAGATTGGGGCACTCATCGCGAAGTACAATAATTCATTTGTAGGTATAAATAAGGCCGGGTAACGTAATATTGTGTGTAACGTCAATCATGTGGGCACACGCTGTTTGGTTTTTGACTGCGCTACAGGTGCTGGCAGCGGTCACCGACATAAACGCATTCACCGAATCAGGTATTGTTTGCTTTAATTAGGTTAAGCAAAAAAAAAAAAATTGTATTTTGTTGTTTTAATTACATTATAAATATTATAATTTTTTTTTGTCTTTTGGGATTCATTCTTAATTGAACCATTTTATTGGTCGGATTTGATATTAATTATTTTCCATAGGAAATGACTTATGAATGTCATTTCTGTCAATGTATTAACTTGAATGACAATCGAAGACAATGTTATAGGTTGAAAAAATTGAGACGAATACGTCATATTGTTACGTTTGCCACCAATTTTTATCAAACAACTGAACTGATTTTGATTTATTAAAAACCGTATATTTATTGAAATCGTATTTATTTTTTATTCTAATTCAAGCACAGTAAATTTTATTAAAATTGCTTATACTACAGCTAAATACCACTAAACAAAAGTAAAAATGGTCTTACACTTATACATAACTTCAGTGAAATTAATGAATACGTAATTTGTTTCCAACTAAAAAGTTAAAATTAAAAAAGCCGACAGCAAAATATGTAGATAAGAAAAAATAAATTATACATAATTATATTTGGAAGTATGACAATATTAGTAGTAATGTGAGCAATGGTTATATGATACAAGTTTAATATTATAATGTCAGCAGTCGGAGATCTATTAAAATTAAAAATAATTTTATACTCTTTTAAATTATTTAGTTTAACCTTCGTGGTTGGTATTCTGTATTGTTTAGGAAATGATGATAGTCGACTTTTTTTTTTACTTTTATAATTTAGCTAACAGCAATTTCCCATTATTAAATGTTCATACTTTTAAATGACTTTGCTAAGTTTATTTTAATATTTTTTTTAAGGTTTTTCATATAACGCGTCTCATTAAAATATTTTATTTGCAGTGCATACAATTTTTTAGTATTGGAGGTTAATTTCCTCTGTATTTTAGCTTAACCTTTAAACAATTTATCGTAATTCCATCATTCTACTTTTTTGAAGTATGTTCTTGGACGGTACTTTTAATACTAATAGTTATAATTATAATAAGATTACACGAAAAAAACTGTACATTCTTATAACTTTAAGTACAATTATACAACATTTATATTACAACCTATACAGGTAACTGACAAAAAAAAATGTATTTTGTTTGCAATAAATACACAAAAAAAAAAACCGTGCAAACTTTAAGTATGTTATCAAGAAAACAAAAAAAATGTTTTGTATGATTTCTATTTTATAGATATTCTGTATTGGCGGCAAAATGCTAAAAAATTGGTGGAAGAAAAAGAAACGCTAACGTTGAGGACAAACACCGCTAAAAATCTTATTATATTTATGGGAGACGGTATGTCCGTGCCAACATTGACAGCTGCCAGAATATACAAAGGACAATTAAAAAACGAGACTGGCGAAAGCGATCATTTGAGCTTCGAACGATTTCCTTTTACGGGAATGTCTAAAGTAAATTTTAAGAAAATAACCATTTTTTCTGCTCTTATTAATATATATATATATATATTTTTTTTTTTTGACATATTTAAATAATTTAATTTTAATAGACTTACTGCGTGGATAAACAAGTACCCGATTCCGCGTGTACGGCTACTGCTTACCTGTGTGGTGTGAAAGCTAATAGAGGCACAATAGGCGTTACGTCGAAAGTATTGCGAAAGGATTGTCCTGCCGCCGCTGCTGATAACAGACCTGAGTCCATCATGCAATGGGCACAGTGGGCTGGTAAGGCCACGGGAATAGTAACGACGACCAGGGTAACTCATGCGTCTCCTGCTGGTGCCTATGCTCATTCAGCAGAGAGAGATTGGGAATCTGATTCCGATATGTTGAAACATGCGAATATCACTAGTATAAAAGAGTGCGAAGACATTGCACTGCAATTGATCACCAGGGATCCAGGTAGAAATTTCAAAGTGAGTATTCATAATAGGAACTGGGTATAATTTTATCCTTAAATCATCATCTATAATACACTGTAACTACATTTTTTCATATTTGTAAATTCTATAGGTCATAATGGGCGGAGGCCGAGATAAATTCTTGATGAAAAAGGTCAATACCACCAACGAACGGTTAAGCGAAGATTTGGTGGTCAGGTGGCAAAACGACAAGGAGGAACGCTTTAAAGGAAAAACCGCCAAGTATATGACTAACAGGGGCGAACTGCTCTCCGCGGATGTGTCCAAAATAGATTATTTGTTGGGTAAAAAATAAATCATTATTAGATTTAAATTCTCAAAGAATTTAGCTTCAATTTTTGACCCGCGTTATTTCGTGTAGGGCTTTTTCAAGAACAGCATATGGACTACAGGCTGAAATCCGACGTGAATAAACAGCCCACGTTGCAGGAAATGACTAGGAAAGCTATTGAGTTGCTTCAAAAAGAAGAAAACGGGTTCGTTTTGTTCGTCGAAGGTGGTCTCATCGACATCGCTCATCATGAAAAATACGCCAAATTAGCTTTGGACGAAACGGTCGAACTATCTAAAGCCGTCTCAGAAGCAGTCTCGTTGACCAGCGAAGACGATACATTGATCGTCGTCACTTCAGATCACGCTCATACCATGTCTATGGCGGGATATCCAAATCGAGGCGCCAGTATATTAGGACTTGGCGGAAAGTTGGCCAAGGACGGTAAGCCCTACACGACGCTGAGTTATGCCAACGGACCTGAAACCGAAAAAGGGTCGACTGATCACTCAAGAACGAATCTAACCGAAGTGGATTTCGGTAAGAATAATATTATTGTAGAGTGAAGATCAAACCAGGGCTCGAAATCGAAATAAAAATGTCCACTTCAATTATTATGAATACCTTTTTTATTTTATTTTAATTTAATACACCGTTTTAATATTATTTAAAATACCGTTAATAAGTTTTTTCGATTTCGGTTTTGAAACCGGTTTTGAGCAGTTGAATTGTACGAATTGTCAGTTATCGGTATTATACCTATATTAATAATAACGGAATTAGTTTTGAATTAATTATATTTGAAAATCCATTGGTGACTAAAAACGCTTCTTACAAAATTATTAACAGTGGCGCCGAACACTTGACAAATTTGGTAGTTCAAAACACTTGACGGTTCCAAAGCGATATTATTACTATATTATGTTCTAATCTCTACTAATAAATCGTTGTAAATCATTATTACAACACGGTATGATTATTATTTTACTGTTTAGAGAATGTCGACTTTCGATACCCGAGTTTGGTGCCATTGAGCTCGGAGACTCACGGTGGCGACGATGTGATGGTATTTGCGAGAGGACCTTGGGCTCACTTGTTTACCGGCAACTATGAACAGAACACAATACCTTTGGCCATGGCGACAGCTGCTAAAATTTCGACCGAATCTCAAAAATCCAAAAAAGAAAGTACCACTTCGCTTGGACAAATATCCGCCGACGCTCTCAACACTCTGATAGCGTCCATGTTGATTGTACTTTTTGGAATTCACTTATCAAACGCTTAGTATTATCGACTTATAAGTATTGTATTTAGTTTGCATACATTTGTTATTGTAAAATAACAAACGGCTTTTAATTTTTGTATTTATATTTAAACTAGCATACCTGAGCATCGATGGTTAGTTAAAACTAGGTATATACCATTTTTCAATAGTCGAACGTAGCGATAAGTATCAAAGTCAAATACGTTAACTATTATGTTATACGTAGTTCTTTATGTTTTATTTTAATAATTAGTACACTCTCTTATAATCTTTACAGTCTAAACATTTTTATATTTATTCATTTGAAATTAACGTCATAATATTTAGTTGAGTCAGTATCATATACCTATCATGTAGTATGTTAAATATTTAATTTACTGTGCTTACATTTAGGCTACATTATTAATTATTTTGTATTTTATGTTTTCATTGGTCCACATTGTTCTGTAGATATAATATATATTTTTAAATAATACATATTTTGTATTCGTTTACTTAAGTATATCATGACCACTAAAGACCATGATATTCCTTTATGAATTATTACGGTCATAAACTTAATAATCATGTTCTACTAATACAAAGTTTGTTAACGACTAAGCGGTGATGGTTAGTGTGGTAAAATGTAAAATATTACACTTAATTATTTGAGTTTTTAATGTTATACGCCATGTGGCGAAATAGACTATACCACTGTCGTTTTTACGCGCGTTTTGTGAGATAACGATAAAAATAAAAAGCAAATAAAATATCTCAGTTCGAAAGGTAATGCGATTGAAGACAAAGGTCGTGTTTGTTTTGTCTATTTTGTTGATTTACATAAATATCATGTAGGATTAACAACGTGGCAATTGCGGGTAAATCGATAATAAAAAAATGATAAATGACTTATTCAAATATATTTTATTGCCGGGTCCGATTAATGGTAATATTACTGTGATAACACTTTGTATGAAAAATTCCAACACCTCCTAAGCATAACGGCAGCAGTCCGCTTGTATATAAGGCTTCGAAGATCTAAAGTGATCTGTCAATCATGTGGGCGCACGCAGCTTGTGTTTTGTTGCAGGCGTTGGCCGTCACTTCTGCGGCGATTGACAGAAACTTGGAATCAGGTACGCTATTATATTATCTGCCTACAACAGATTTTTTTATTTATTCATTTTTATTTCAGCATAATTACAATGACGTTGCAAAATATAAATATAATATAATATAATAACAAGATTGTGAGTTCATAAAAACGTTATAAAAAGTAACCATCCGTTGGTTTTTAAATATTTGTGATAGGATTTAGGGACATTGCGGGTAATAGTGCATCGATTTTTTCAGTAGGTAGTCTTAAACATGCTCACGAAACCGGTATTACAATGCTCGAGAATTTTTATTTGAATTATTTAATGAATGATTATTTTGTTTCTTTATTGATGATCAATACTAATCCACCCACGTGATCGACCGATCCATTGAACGAATTAAATTCGAGTGTAACTTAATACAGATATTTTTGACTTTTTACCGCGCTAATTAAAACTTAATACATTTAATGAATTTACATTAATTTAGTCGTAATGCTATTTTAATTATAGACAAGTATAATTAGACTCGACCCCAACTAAAAGTAGATGTAGATATTTCCTAGCTTAGTTTGAACCCGTGTCTGATCACTCGGTTGTAATATAATAATACTAATTAGAGTGCAAATAATTACAAGCCTCTGTAATATTTACGTCAAATTTGGTTTTTACGTTTTAACTTCATACTACAAAATTATTACATAAATATATACATATATATATATTAGTACCAATGACTCGCTGTTACGTTATAGTTACTTACAATAACAAACACAGTTTAAAGTAATAAATACTTTATACTGCAATTATATATTATAACAATTAGATTAGTCACGTTTGGTAGTTTGCCGTAAATCGTTACAACATTCGAATACCAAAAATTGAAACTATCAGAAAAAATAAAATAATATCGCAGATGAATACATTGCGCCAATTAACGCACTCGTAAAGGCTTTATAAAAGTTTTTTCATTTGTAAACGAAATTAATTGGAGTAGGTAGCCATTGTTTGAAATTCAATACAAAATACCTTTTAGCTTCGGTAGTAATAATACTAATAATAGTAAATATATAAATATAATATATGTGTGTGTGTTTTTTTAATCATAAACAAGGTACCTACTTGGGAAAATCGATTTTGCTTTTAACGTTACCCAAACTTATAACAATTACAATAAATTATTGATTTAAAAAATAATTTACAAAATGTTACTTCCTACCTATTGTGTTTATTGTAAACAATTTATTACTTTTTACATATTTTATAAAAAAAATTGTTATTATAATAATTGGATGTATGCTTTTTTTACGTGTTCATTTTTAAGTCATTTTCTAGTCTTACCGTTTAAACAACAAGAGATTTATACTATTACACAAATTATTTACTGTTCTTGCTAATATGACTAGGTATTTGAATTGGGTTTGTGTACACTTTATAATATTATATTATCATAAAACAAAGACTAAGTTTATAGTTCATTGTATTCAACACAATTAAAATAAAAATAATTTTTGTTCAAACGATAACAGTGAGTATGCAAATATTTAATGCATACAATAATTTTATAAATAGCTATCAGCGCAGCGTGATTTAGTGTAAATGTATCTAATTTTAGACAAAGAATTTGACCTAACCGAACAGTAAAGAGAACGTTTTTGTCAAAACTCAATATTATTTGAGTTAACCTCCCAGCTCGAAAACGACACAAAATAACGACGCGAAATTCGTACTTTTTTGTAAACGCTATTGTTAATGGTTATGATGTCAATAATTTAATAACTACATCAAAATGTTGTACCTATCACCGTTAAAATAAAATAATGTCATACACTTATTTTACACGCATTTTTTAAATTATTATAGATGTGAAATATTGGATGGAAAATGGCAAAAATCTGCTGGAAAAAAAAGCGAAATTAAAATTCCAAACTAACACAGCCAAAAACCTGATACTGTTCATGGGCGACGGCATGTCTCTGACTACATTGACAGCGGCCAGAATATATAAAGGTCAACTAAAGAACGAGACAGGCGAAAACGGTTATTTGAGTTTCGAACATTTTCCGTTTACAGGAATTTCAAAGGTACTTTAATATAGAAAAATCATTCATCCATCGCCTACTAAATACGTCGTTTTGAACACAGTTAACTAATGTTCACACTTGAGTACAGGTGATATTATTGTATCAGTTGCTATATATATATGCATGGGAAGCAGTATAACCCAAAGGTCCCAAGTCGGCTTAGTTTATATTCTAGGAGTTCGATTTTGAACAGGTGGTTTAGACTCTATAGTCTATACTAAGAATATTTTTTACATTTACAAGTCTATCTTACCTATACCTTCACCCGTTTGATTTTTAATTTAATTACAACTAATATTTAATTTTAAACTTTTTTACTGACATACAATTTAATACATATGGTTACAATAATTTTAAAAGTCAACTTTGTTTAAACAATACTAAAAAATAAATTAAAATGAACTCGAGCTTAGTTTTAGTTAAAACTAAAAACACACATAGATAGTCCGCGTTGAGTAGTTTTTTTTAGCGACAACGAATTTATGTTTAATCTATGGCCTAGCCCATTACAATATAAATAGTATATTATAATCACACGTCGAAACTGATTATTATTAGTATACATTTTGTAAAAACAGCAAATAAACGTAACGTTATCCTAGCATATTGAATGCCTAAATTTTAAAATCAAATAATATTTAAATATTATTTGACGGAGCAATGTCGGTTTTCTGGTTTTTCTCGTTATATGTTTATACAACGATTTAATTTTTGTATTGTTTTTTAAAATGTTGATTAGACCTATTGCGTGGATAAACAAGTGGCAGACTCCGCTTGTTCGGCAACGGCATACTTGAGCGGAGTTAAAGGTAATTTTGGCACGGTAGGCGTATCGTCCAAAGTGAGGATAAACGACTGTGCGGCTTCGATTGTGGAAAAGAGACCTGAATCCATTATGCAATGGGCTCAGTGGGCTGGTAAGAGTACTGGAATAGTGACCACGGCCAGGGTGACACACGCTTCTCCATCCGGTAGTTTCGCCCATACATCAAACCGAAATTGGGAATCGGACGCCGACATGCTTAGGTACAAGCATGAGACCGAGGTCGACATAAGTCAGTGCGAAGACATAGCCCGTCAGTTGGTTTCCCGAGACCCGGGCAGAAACTTTAAGGTGCTTTTTGTAGAGCAACGCCGCAGCAGAATGCCAATATTGTTTATTTTTTATCTGTACAGGTGATATTTGGCGGCGGTAGAGATAAGTTCAGGGCAATGAAGATCAATTCTACTGGCGAACGACTGGACGAAGACTTGGTTGCCAAATGGAAAAGAGACAAGACCGACCGGTTCGAAGGAAAGACCACGCGGTACATGACCACCAGGAAAGAGCTACTAAACACGGACGTTTCGAAAGTAGATTACTTGTTGGGTAATTTCGAAAATTCAGTAAAACAAGTATTGTTAAGCATTGGTTTTGAGTATATTTGTTCAAATAGGTCTGTTTCACGACAGTCATTTGGAATACAGATTGAAATCGAACGTCGAGGAACAGCCGACCCTGCAGGAAATGACCAGTAAAGCTATCCAAGCGTTGAAGAAGGATAAAAACGGATTCGTTCTATTCGTGGAAGGCGGTCTCATCGACATTGCCCACCACAATACTTATGCGAAATTTGCGTTGGACGAAACCGTCGAACTGTCCAAAGCTGTGTCCGAAGCCGTTGCCTTGACCAGTGATACCGATACCTTGATCGTGGTTACCTCGGACCATGCGCACACCATGACCATGGCTGGATATCCAGCCAGGGGATATAATGTTTTAGGAGCGACTAGTTTGCTTGCGCAGGACAAATTGCCATACTCGACATTGAGTTACGCGAACGGTCCTAAGACGAGCCAAGGTCGGCAAAGGATGAATGTAACAGACAGACTATTCGGTAAACATTTTTTTTTTAATTTCTTAAACGATTATTTTTTTGTTTAACAAACAAAATTAGTGGCTATTATTATGTCTATGAGACAAAATGTATGGGGTAGTCCATGGGATATAAAAAAGCGATAAATCCGTTATCGTTGTATACAAATTAGTACGAATGTAAATATTGCTACACGATATTTATGAATGGTATTCGTTTGTTATTTAACACCTAGTAGCAATACAGGTAGACAATACCTCGACCTATAGCGTTACTAATATTACATTTAAAATATATATATATTACTTTGTTATTTATAGAAAAAGAAAACCTGCAATATCCGAGTTTTGTACCGCTGGAATTTGAAACTCACGGCGGTGAAGACGTTATGGTATTCGCCAGAGGACCTTGGGCTCACCTTTTTACCGGCAACTATGAACAGAACACGATTCCACTGGCCATGGCAATGGCAGCAGGAATATCAACCGAGTCTCCATATAGTAGCGGTGCACCGTCGTTTGGATTACAAGCTACCGATTACGAACACAAACTCATAGCGTTCATGTTATTGGCCGCACTAGGAGGATTCCTACGGAATATATAGAACGTCGAGATTTACACAGTACATGTTGTTGCAGTTCTAATATCTAGTCTGATTATTTTTATTTTGAGAGAAAGGCTGCATACATAAGAATTATTTTCACCATTGCTAGGAAAATGTTATGACATTTAAAGTAAAAAACATAAAAATTGTTACTTTATAATTTGATTTGTTTATTTTATAATTTTGACCTAATTAACTACTGGTGAGCTAATAAAATTAATTATCTTTATGTTGCTTTTGCTTGAAAAATGTATTTTAATATTATTAGTTTGTTAGAATTTATAGTTAATTTTAGCTCTAAACCTCAACAATTTACTTAAAACTGGTATTTGCACTGCCTGTTTTGGATTTAAAAAAAAATTGTTTCGGCTGTATGATAATTTAAAAATTGATAACAGAAGCGCCATCTATCGCCTCGGTCGGCAACCGGTTGTCCACAGCGCCGTTGTATTGTACCCATAATTTTAATCGTCTTCAAGTTATTATGTCAGCTATAGCTAATTAGTAATTACTAGATAGTGTTGTAACATGTAAAAGGTTGTTTACTCAGTGCAAATAATGAGGGAAAATTGCTTCCCATTAGATTAATTTTTATCGGGAACTGAACAGTATTTAGCGTATAGAAAATATACAAAATTAGGACTGATTTAATTTTGATAAGACCGATTTGTATAAACTAAGAAATTCGTTTAACTACTGAGGTTTGCGTCGAAATGTTTGGGATTTTTTTGATATTATAAAGTATTAATAGTAAAAAAAAAATAATGTATAAAAGTAAAATATTAAACAGGTCAGACCGGTAATCAGCTTTATCTATACTAACTTTATCTAATAATCAATTTGCTGTTGTAAAATTCCAATGACAGTACTGGTACATTTCGTTTCTATTACAACAAGAATACCATACAACTTACAAAGCAAACAAAGTCATATTGTACATGAACCGGTTTGTTCATTGAGTCGTCAACGTTTTTATAATAACACACACCAGGTAAAGGTGGTCTTATTAGTATTCTATGTACCTACAGTTTTATAACAATTGCATGGTTTTGTTGCGTTTTTTTTACTAGTAAAGACTTTTATTTTGTTTTGACCTCAGTAGCTCTGTTCATCGGTGTTACAGCAATACTCAGATAATTTAAATCAGTACGCAACAACGGAAATATTAAAAATATATATTTTTGTATTTTTAATTATATTAAGAACAAGAAAAAAAATATATTATCGAATTATTTTCAAATAAGCGAGTGTTTGCAACAAACTTATAGATGTGTGAATTCCTATAAGGCTATAAAAACTTGGTATGTAAACCTTACGAAAATTAAATATTTCTTTAATATTTAAATCATTTTTGCCAGTACTGTCAAAATGATTTTATATACTTATTTTGTACCTAAGAAATTAAACGTTATGTAAATATTTTAATTTTAATTATATTTTTAACTATACCTAAATTATATTTCTAATAATTTCAACCAAACTAAAATTGTTTAATAATAAATATTGATTTTAAAATTGCGGTGTGAGAAAATTGTACATATAAATATATAAAACGAATAAGCTACTTTAAATAAATAAAATATTAATTTAATTAATATACATATTAATTTATAGAAATTTGATACTTAAAAACATTTAATTATTAATTTATACGTTACACTTACATCACTGTAACATTAGGCTTTAAAGCTCTGACATTTAAATTTATAAAAAATAGTAATTAAATAAGATAACTTATACGTACTACATAAGAAATAAGGATCGCATATTTTGTACCACGATTGACTACATAATGTAATATACGTTAAAATTCATCATTAGTGTTTCAAACGCTAAAATAAATTAGCCTTTAGCGACTTTGAAACAAAATAATTTCTAGATTATAATATAGGTATTATAATAATTAATCAATAAGTATGTCGCCATTATTATAATAACAATGTAAAGTGTTAAGAGCAAACAAACTAAGACTATTTTGAAAAATGGATATTTTATCATATTATGAAACAACATGTTTTTACTTTGTGCAGAAATTAGTATTTTTTATTTTATGTGACATGTATATAAATCACGTCAGATAATTAAACCACAAAACACAAAGAAAACATGACATTGTTTAATTTATGTTAAGCAACTATATTATTATTATTTTCAGCCAAATAAAATAAAATATTATTATAACGAATCTGCTTGTTTAGTTGGCTATAAGCTAGACAAAGTGGTCGCCTTAGGGACTAAATCCCTAAATATGAATCCCGTTTCTACATTTATAGGTAAACCTATAGTCTTCTCCATTAGCTCAATATCCTGCTCGATGACTTAGGCGATCGGTCGTACCTCGTATATGTAACGAACAAGAAAAACATTTTTATAAAATAGCTTAAGTATGTGTATTTATTACAGCTCGACTTAGATCGTGAAGCGTTCTCTGTAGTTGGTTCAGGTAATGGCGGTGTTAGACGGACACACGCGAGCAAGTGAAATTAAAAGAGATATGAATTAATTAAATTACACAAAATAATAAACAAAGAGTTGAGATTAATTAGGTCGTGGTCCTATAAGGTGGTAAAATCTCAACTAACCGTACACATTGGCTCATTGTTTCGCGTGTGTCCATTGTCACTCCTACCTATAATTTGTCTTAAAATGATAATCATGCCTATTAGATAACAGGCGGTTAAATGTGTAACTATCGTTACATTTTAACAATAATTGACCATCATATATCGATTAATTTTTATTTAATATTTAAATGCATAATACTATTAAAAGAACCTTTTTTAATTTAACGCTGACATTTAACAAGTACCTAATATTTTTAATTTGGTCGACCGAGCAAGTCAGAATAGAATTTTAGTTTTAACAATGGCTTAGTGAACAGGTGGTATAAGTCCACTTTTTTCGGAAACACCATTTGTTGGAGTTGTTAACGTCATATTATTTTACGAGTTTCTTAAAATTGACATGACTTTAGCACCAAACATATGAATCTTTGACTTTCCAAATTTGCACACAGTTATTTCTATACTTTATATAAGGTATTTCATTTCTAATTTAAAAAATGCAAATTTTGAGTTAATAGGTACTAATTAATAATATTATCAACATAATATAGCGGTTATCATAAATATTATTTAACTAAAACTGTAATACGATTTAATAGTTTTTCTCTTTTCAAAAAATGAAATGATTAATTATTATAATGTTTTGTAAGTTTTGCTATTATAATATAATATGTACTTTATTATAAAGGTTAAATTGTAAGTAATCTAATTTTAAATCATTGTATTGTGGTTAAATCAAATATTTTTTAGCATAATTTAAATATGCCAGTACGATTATCAAGCTATATCTTGTTACAGTTGTATCTTTAGTAAAATAATACTGATTTTATTTTTCAGTTATCATAATAGAAAAAGCGTTCAATCAATGATGCTAATGAAGTCGTTTGTGTTCTTTTTAGCGTATGCAGCCGGGGGATTGTCGGATTATACTGAAAACCCAGGAACAGGTTAGACATTTAATTCCTACTAATTTTATAACGAACATAAGCAAAACGTATAGGTAACGCCCGTAAATTAAGTGCCATTGGTACTCACACGATCCACGGTATTCCCAAACAAAAATTGGTTGAGATGTGCCTAACTGTGTTGAAGGACACACTGGGAATAATTTAGTACCATTTATATTCTTAATTTTATTATTATTAATAAGTCATATAATTTGTCCTTTACGCTACTTAGATTGCAATTTTCGTTTGCGTTTACCTGTCAAATTTATTAATATGTATTTGTTTTTTTAAAAAAACTATATACAATATACTGAGTCGTAAGCTGTGTCCAATTGGAACTCAATAATTTTATTTTAATAAAGTTATTTATTATATTATACAATTTTTCGTTTCAAATACAAACAACGTACAGTCTTAACTTTTAACCATAAGATGTCTATATACATAAAATTAAATAAAACAGTTTGTTTTTATGTTTATGAAAAAAACTTGAGTTTTTCTTTATTTGTTTGCCATTACTTCACTTGACTGCTAAGATTTTTTTTTAGCATTATGCCATACATTAATTATTTAAAAAAAAACAATATAATTTTTATTAGGAGTTTTATAACATAGTTATGTGTTATATTTATGTTAATATATTTAATTTACACAATTTGTTATTTGTTATATTTGAGATGCTGAGTATTGGTTGAAAAATGGAAAGCTTAAGATTGCAGAAAAATTGAAAATTAAGTTAAACACCAACAAGGCCAAGAACTTGATTATTTTCATGGGCGATGGCATGTCACCGACAACGTTGATGGCGGCCAGAATTTATCAAGGGCAGCTAAAAAATAAAACCGGGAAAAACGAAAATCTCAGCTTCGAAAAGTTCCCGTACACCGGCCTAATAAAGGTATTTATTATCTTTAAACACATAGGACAGACGTATAAACGAGTTAATCTACCTTTTAAGAAGTTTTTTGTCTGTGTTTTTACCATGTTAGTCATACTGCGTGGACAACATAGTGGCAGACTCTTCTTGCACGGCTACTGCGTATTTGGGCGGTGTCAGAGGTAATAGTCGCACAGTAGGAGTGTCAGGACATGTTACGTTTAACGACTGTCCGGCTTCGACGATAGCGTCCAACCAAGTGGATTCAATCATGCAATGGGCTCAATGGGCGGGTAAAGCTACAGGTATAGTGACCAACACGCGGGTGACGCACGCTTCGCCTGCGGGTGCTTATGCTCACACGTGCAATAGAGATTGGGAATCTGACCGTAGCAAAATGATGTCCGCAAATCTGACTGACGTGGAACAATGCGAAGACATAGGCCGGCAAATGGTGACCAGGGATCCTGGCAGGAACTTTAAGGTATTAGCGTGAAACCCGCGAGACTTATTTAAAAAAAAAATCAAATACAAATCAAATGTCACTTGTCGCAAACGCAGGTGATTATGGGCGGTGGACGTAATAAGCTGATGCGGAAGAAAACCAACTCTTCCGGAGAGCGCAACGACGAGGACTTGTTGGATAAGTGGATGGCAGACAAGCAAGAACGTTTCCACGGCAAGACCGCTAAGTACATTACTACTCGAAAAGAACTCCTTACTACCGACATGTCGAAAACCGATTTTCTCCTAGGTAAAATGTTACTATTTGTTAATAGAATATACAATATGCAATTTTATTTGATAAATGAAAGTCAGTAAACATCGCATTTTTGCTTGTTAGTTTAGAGTAATGTATTTTTCTGGCAATCCAATCAATATCATAATATGTTTCCAATTAATTAATCCTACGTGTGATCCGTGCGCTTAGGTCTTTTTCACGATGACTTACTCGACTACAGGCTGAAGGCGGACGCGACCAAGCAACCGACTCTGGCGGAGATGACTAGCAAAGCCATTGAACTGCTGGAAACCGAGAAAGACGGGTTCGTGCTGTTCGTCGAAGGTGGTCTGATCGACATTGCCAACCACGGGGGTCTGGCCAAAATAGCATTAGACGAGACGTTGGAGCTGTCCAAAGCCGTGGCGGCAGCAGTGAAATTGACTCGGGAAGATGACACACTTATTGTGGTCACCTCGGATCACGCTCACGTGTTGACCATGTCTGGATATTCGAAATGGGGTACGGACATACTTGGACTGTCGGAGAAGGTCGATGACGACAAAAAACCGTACACGACCCTTGCGTACGCAAGCGGCCCGAGAACGAACACCAACAGCTGGCAGTGTCACCGAGCTAATTATACCCACGTCGATTTCGGTTAGTATTTAGCATCCTCGAGTAGGTGTATAATATTAATTTTTTAATTTTAATATTCTGTTTTTTTTTTTTGCTGTCCGCCGCAGGAGACGTCGACTACATATACTCGAGTATGGTTCCTCTGCGTCACGGTACACACAGCGGCGACGACACGATTGTCTTTGCTAGAGGACCGTGGGCTCATCTGTTTACTGGCCACTACGAACAAACCATGATTCCTCTGGCAATGGCGATGGCTGCCGGTATTTCCACGGATCCTCTGTCGAACGAATTAGCATACTCTTTGGGAATTTCAATATTCAGTGTCCAACATTTCACAACAACGTTGGTACTATTATTTCTGTCGATAGCCGTACAGATGCTTCGATGATTGTTTTGCGCATATGGTTTTCGTTTGGATTTAGATCTCTTGTAATGTTATACCACTAGCTATTAAGTACCTATGGTATCTAAAAGATTCTTTACTAACCCTATTCGTTTATAGAATTTTGTAATATATTTGTACTTCTGAGTTTTGCTTTTTTCATGTTTAATTTTTACTTTTTTACAATACAAAACACACTTAGTTTGTTTATTGTAATTGCTCAAATAAAATGTTATGTTATTTTTAGAAAATATTGTTTTTATTTTTTTCATTAGAAAAAAAAATCAATATTGAGAAGCAAACTTTACTAAGCATTATAAACACAAACCGTGCGTCTGGTTATAATTTTTTTATTTGTATATTAATATACTGTATAATTGATTTTTCAAAAGCTTTTTATAACTTAAAGCCATAAATGTGTAAATATTCATTGATACCATTTTTTTTGAGACAGTCTCTTCAGGAAATACAAGAAGAATGTTCTGTTTAATAAATTATTTATATTTGTTCAAAAGAACATAAAACTTACTCGGCGTAATTAAAAAATAGTTGCATTATATTATAAAAAAAAATATAATATAACATTTGAAGGGGTCCGTGCAAAAACGAGACAACTCCAATTTTGGCGAAAATGGGTTTTTGGCCGTTTCCAATTAAGAAAAATTTGACGAGTATATCTGTGTAAGAACGAGACATATCCGACCACCGGTATAGGAAATATAATGGAACTGGAGCTGTCTGGTTTTTTTTTCCATTGAAAAACCAGATAGCTCCGGAGTTATCTGGTTTTTGCGCCGAATGTTGTCTACACTAAAATTAGTTGTCTTAAAGTAAGAATAAATAATATTAATAATTTTTTGATAAAAAAAAAAATTGAAATAATAAATACAAAGTTCGGGTCAAAAAACAAGATAACTCCAACAATTTTGGGTTAATTTTAGCTCACATCTCAAATCAAAAACCTTAATCAAATCACGTACTACGTCATCTTTTTCATCATGGTCTAATATATATTAATTGATATTAACATTAGTTTTACCTTAAACTCAATATTTTTAAAATAGTTTTTTTTGTTTCTTGAAAAGTTTAAAAAAATGGAGTTGTCTCGTTTTTGCACGGACCCCTTCATTTACATTAACAGACGCCGTTTTGTTATATTATCAGAGGTAGCTAATTAATGTAGAATTAAACGTTATCTTTTTTAATTGTCTATCGCATTACGGCAAATCAAAGCTAATTTTTAAGTGTCACTTATATGAATTACACCACATAGACCTTATACAATCTATATTATCGCTTTTGTGTTTCGGTATAATATAGAAATATTATTTGATTTTTAGTAAGCCATGTATTGAACAAAATATTCTATATTGAAAAAAATAATAAAAAATTATGAGTAATTTAATTACATAAATATTATAATCATAAAAAACTGTTTTATATAAATAGCTTGAAATTTAATAAAATATATATATTTGTAACACCATAGTACTGTTTAGATCCTTAATACATAATCGCAACATGTCTTTATAAATTTTGTTAAGAGTGTGCCTCACAATTTTTTTCTTAATTATAAATCATATTCTTAGTTTTTCTTAATATCCGATCTGTACCAATTATAATTTTTTTTTTAACAAAATAACAGTATAAACCTTGAACGTATCAGTTGTCTCCGGTTGTTGGTACTGGAAGTGTCGTGCGTAATTAAAATGTAAGTAATTTAATAGAAAAGTTGATTTTCTATTTATATTCAAAAGAAGTGAAGTGGGGGGGGGGGGAGAAGATGTATAAATAGTTCAAATTTAGTACGATTTGATTATTTAAGTCGGAGTGTATCTATTGTAATAGACGCAATATAATATAGTCGACAGTGCTTATGGCGTGTCTGATAGTAATAATTGCAAGTCGACGCTTTTGCAGTTAATATTCTATTATCTGTCTGGGTCGAGTATGAATATAATATGGTAATCCGAGACCGGTAAAATAATGAACGCTTATTGGCTGCCATGCATGTCACGCTATGATTTTCCGGAAAATAATAAACGTTATAGTTAAAGACATAAAAGCCGGGGCTTCGGTTAGGGTACATAACAATTTAAATGATTTTGAAAACATGTAACCGTACCTAACCCTTAAATTAATTTCCTTGGTTTTTATTTTCTCGAAGAACGTTTGATAGTTTTGAATTCATGTTATATACTCTGAGATCAAACTTATGGGTTATGATTTATAAATGTACAGGTAATAGCTTATTACCATAAAAAAAAAAAGTGTCCAAAACCTATAACCGTTTCCATACTTAATAGTTAATCGAGCAACCGTTTCCGTTGCGGTATATCTTGTGAATACTCTGCAAACTATGATACACTTTCTATACAATGTTGTATTTATCGCAATTCTTGGGCGTTAACAATATCACTATAATAACAAAATACTTGACATTTAATCGTTTTTTCTCATTTAGTTTTCTGAAAATTGTTCATTGGACTATTACCGTTTTGGTGTAAGTTTCGGTCTAAGGGTGATTTTTGTGTCAAGTCGTTTAAGAGGATTTACACGGGATTGTGAGATTCTATTGACATAATCCGCTTTTGCGGTCCGTTTAAACGGAAAACCGCGTGTAAGAAATGGAAAAAGAAATACATAATATATCATAAACGAGTTTATTTTATTGGTAAAATGCGAAAAAAATATGAAGATTAACATTTTATAAGCTATGTTTCGATGCCAAATCGTAGTGGTGACATAACACAGTACGGTAAATTGTAACTGTAAATCATTTTTGCGTTCAATTATTTTGGTATACTTACAAAAAGCTTTGTCCACACCACCGGTTACTCTTTCCTCGGCGACAAATATTCATATTAAAAAATATAAAACATACATACCTGTAAAAAAAAAAAAGTTATTTTATTAACTGAAATAGTAAACCAATGTTGCCTTAATTAGTGTAATTTGTTATTAAAAGATGTATATGGTCGTAACTCGTAAGAGCCATTAAACTATCGGCATTAATCAATTTATATTTCACAATTTGTGGGTGGTTTCGGTCAGACAAAGGATAAAACTAATTTTTATTTGAAATTAATTAATAATAATAAATCACGGAATTATGTTGATTAGATGAGTATTCACCGAGGAACAGAGGTCTTTAAAGTTTTGATTCAATAAAATGTATACATTTTTAAATAGTTTTGAGTAGTTCCCTAAAAATGTTTAGATTGCACTTTTACATTGAGAGTCCACAGTCTAAATATTAACAGTGTGTAAGATTAAAAACAATATATTTGATAGAAAATTAGTCTTCTGAGGTCGAAAATCATCTTAATAAAAAACCTATACTGTCAAATAAGTTTGAAGTAACAATCGAAATCAACTTAAACATATTATCTCGCCATGTTATGTACTTATATCCATCCTTGGTCAATGTTAAACTCGATTACGAACCTCTCGCACATGTGTGTCTGTTACAAAGTTTCATTTAGTACACAGACGACACACACGTTTTAATATATATATATTAATTGTTCCTTACACACAATATATATTGCCAGTGGGAGGCGGTCGTTCGGTTTGGAATACTCGAATTTTTGAGTGCATACTCGATAATTATTTTGTTAAATAAAAGGCGAATGGATACATTACAATTGTTTAATGCACTCCAGTCGACGATTTTCGGTAGTCATGCGTTGCCAAGGTGTACGTGTTTTGGCGGCGACCGCCACATTTTGTGTGCTTTTGGCGGCAAACACACAATGTATGGATTTCGGTATGTACGCCAATGCAGTCGCACACTATTATTATTATTATTATTATATTATACTATTATATTAGTATGTCGACACAATTATTATTGTAATTTCGTCGCCGTTAAATATTATGTAATTATGCGCTCGTGTGTGCACCGGGCTGTGGCTAATCGAATTACCTTTGAACGTACCACTCGCGTGTTTGGGGGGACAAAAATTTGATAATAATATTAATGTAATTTTTGAAAAACAAAAAAATCCGTTACCACCGCAATACGTGAGACGCCTAATAATCATAATGTGTTTTGCAGAGCACGCCGAGAGAAACGTCAACCGCATCAGAGCCAGAAACGAGGCGAAACAACTGTACGTTAACGGCAAAGAAAACGGTAAGCGTTTTTTTTTCAAAATTTTTTTTTATCAACGGTATTTTTATAATAATAATTTCCACGCGTTCCGCGAAACTCGACATTGATTGGAGACAGCAAAAAAATGACATTCCATTTTTAATTTAAAAAAAAAATGGTTTTTGAAGGTTTGTATATTTTGTCAAATAGTATAAAATAAACGTTTGCTCTGGTAATTATGATTATGACTGTAGTGTTTATGATGTATCCTGTTAAGATTGGTAACTAATAAAATGTAATTTTTGTCATCGATGGTATAAGTGAATTTCACAACATTTTCCATATTTGAAAATCCATAACGTCATTTCATGTTTATGTTACACGGTATGAAAAATGGCCTTTTACATCGACTTCCAATATCCATGGTTATCTACTAAGTAGATATACTTAGTATAAGTACTATCTGCCTAGAAGATAACCTTGATTTGTACACAACGATTAGGAGACTAGTAAGGCATCTTTTCGACTATTATACTATTAGACATAATATACATAACTAGATTTTTCGAAAAATGAGACACCTGCATAATATGTCATCGATATAAGAATGTACTCGATATGTGTATAATATAAATGAACTATAAGCGTTTGTTAGACAATTTGATTATTACCGGGCATACATTTATTGGTTTCATTCGGATTTCGCAGATGTTAATTTCTGGTCGAACGTCGGAATCAAAAAACTTGAGTCAATGTTGAAGGTGGAACGACAATACGGCGTCGCTAAGAACGTGATATTCTTCCTTGGCGACGGAATGTCGATTCCCACTTTGGCCGCCGCCCGGATGTACAAAGGGCAGATGGAAGGCAAAGCCGGCGAAGAGGACATGCTGACGTTTGAAAAGTTTCCGTTTACCGGACTGTCCAAAGTAAGATTAACCGAATGGCACTTTTGACGATAGATCGATCGATATTGCCAAGGTTTTGAGATCAATCGACCCATCTTGTGCCATCCTAATAGAGAGGGGGCGGAACAAGACGTTAACAGTAATGTTTTGCGCGCAAGTAAGGGATTATTGGATGCTAACAGCATTTTCCAATGTTGCAGACGTATTGCGTGGACAGTCAAGTAGCTGATTCAGCGTGCACGGCCACGGCTTACCTGACCGGCGTCAAGGGTAACATCGAAACCATTGGCGTATCCGGGCACGTGTCCAACCGAGACTGCGTGGCTTCCGTGGTAAAACAGAACCGGGCTGAGTCTAGCATGAGATGGGCGCAGCTGGCGGGAAAAAGAACCGGCGTTGTGACCAACATGAGGGTAACGCACGCCACGCCGGCTGGGGCTTATGCTAACGTGGCGCAACGTAATTGGGAGTGTGACGATGACATTCTTAGCGACCGTCATAAACTAGCCGGTATGGACTGTAACCAAACACCAGACATTGCCCGACAGTTGATTGAAAACGAGACCGGACGCAATCTTAATGTGAGTTGAATAATCCGCATTGTTAACAACCGTTGATACAGTTTCAGTGTGTTTTAAACAATTTCCAGAAATCACTAGACTGTCTAATCATTTTACTGTTATACGCAGGTGATCATGGGTGGTGGTACTAAAAAGTTTATCCCCGAAAATCAGCATGACGAATACTCCAACCAAGGACAAAGGAAAGACAGAAGAAATTTGATGAACGAATGGTTAGACTTAAAACGCGATCCAAATTCGAAAGCGAAGGTCGTCCAAAACAGAAGTCAGCTGTTGTCCGTTGACGATCAAACCGACTATTTGCTAGGTTAGTAAAGATTCAATGGTTGATAACTAAGGGCGACCTTAGGTCTTAAGACGTATGTTACATACTCGGATAAAAAATGCACAAGGTTCAGAGGATGTCACCTATGTATTAAGCTCTTGTTGATATCTAGTAAAGGAATTGGCTATCCAAAAATAAAATTTAATTTTGATATGCTGCCTGGCTGGTACACTCTCGTTCTGTAGGTGTTGAGGATGACAATGATACTATCCAAACTTGGCATTATATATTAGTACTAAAATATTTTATATTATTTTTACTATTTAAACGGTTGACTTCCTTTATAAACTTAACCATCAAGATGAATTTTTGTTGGATTTCTGGAACTATCGTCTATCTAAGTAGGAAAACTACCCATAGCTGTATTGTAATTAATTGTTACTTAAATGCATTAATTGGGTACGTAATAGTTCAGAACTTTATTAAATACTAGTTAAATTATTTCTGTCATTTTTTTGTTAAGGATGGATTTAACACGATATAACTATATAGACGTGAGTTAGGAGCTGGGAGGCATAGTATAATATTAAATAATTAAAACTGTACAATGTTGTAACGACTGCGACTTATATAATAAAATCCTTGTGGGTGGTCCCCCCTAAACTAAACCCGTTGCATTTTCATTGTGCTACGCTTTTTTTATGGATAGTAAATAAAAATACACTCTCATTTTTATATTGTCGTCTAGATTTATAGGTTGACATTAGAATGTTTAAAAGTTACAAAATGATTATAATTAATTTGTAATTTTATTATTTGTATACATTTTCTACAAAATAATTGAATCACATTTAAATGAAATAATCTTATTTTCATTATATTAAAAGAGTAAAATAATATTTTTGAAAACTTAAAAAAAAAAATGTAAATTTCAAGTGTTTTTAAATTAATTGTTTTTAACTAACATGTTTCTATTGAAATCACATCTGTGCATTGATGAGTAGGCACACAGTCTAATTTAATTTTAATGGTACTATTATCTATTTATTTTCTGTCCATGTGCATGATATCTAACAATGATACAGGAAAGTTTATACCGTGATTTAACACCTTAGCTATACTCGCTAAGTCTTATCTGTGCATGACGGATCATCGGTTTCATGAAACATGTCTTTTATGTAGGTACAGTATATAAAATTAAAAAATGAATAACCATATTGTGCTATCTTATGTTATATTTATCAGAACCTAAGATTTGGTCGCTCACAATTTTGTCACTATAACATTGGCGCTGTAAAAAGGTTTCTGTTGATTACTAAATATTACACATTAGTTTATGACCCGTGTGGAAGATCATAATAATAACTACATAGGTTCAGTATTAGCTATATTATGTAGTGTTTGAAGTCATCTTATGGAATACATAAACCGTTAGTAACTAAATGCAGTTAACTTGGTGAGAATTATTAGTTGGGTAGTTTTTTGTTCGACACACGGTCATATTGCTCATATACAGACTAAGATACCAAAAAGCGTTTTACAGTTTTTTCTTTTTGAAGAAGTCTTTGCATTATCGACAGGTAATCAGTACGCAATAGTACCTGGATAATATTCTTGCGAGTTAAAGTATTACTGCAGTGAGTACACGAAAATAAGATGCCGGACCACAGCGAAGTACTTAGGTACGCGTTAGGGTTTTGTAAACTATACTCGACAGTTGGATAATGCCAAAAGTTTTACCAAATCTCGTATCGCGGTATAATCGAACCTCGCTAACTCAGGCTTTGATTTACAAAATATCCAACTCGATTTTGTGTTACCAACAAAATCCGACGAGGTGCTAAAAAAAAAAATACTGGTCATGCCTACACACTATACTGGATCGAATTACTTCTATGTTTGTGTTATGCCGGGGGGCAAACTTTAAATTTATTACTTAGGTTAACATAGTTTCTCTTGCATGCACGATTCATCTTTTTTAAAAATATTTGTATAATCAAAAGTAAATAATGGTTTACAATGTTCAATTTTTGGTTGTTGTAAATGTACTGGAACAAATTTTATTAGTTAACGAATGTATATAAAAATTATCTGACAAATAATTATTATTATTCACACTTTTTAAATATAAAAAATGTCATTAACAAATATTAGTTGGAAAGTTCATGATAATAATTAAATATTAAGTAAATTACCATCAAGATTTTATATTTTTTGTCTATACTGCATGTGTAAATAATTATTAACAGCTTTGGGAAATCTAAAGTATATAGGTAATAAAACAATTCATATTAATATTGTTTTTCTTCCAAACGATTTTATAAAATAAATTTCAATTCTTTTTGAGATCTGTGACCTCCACTCTATTATGTTTTATTGCAAATCTGCTAGCTTTTCTATAAACTTTAAATTATACTAATAAATACGTAATCACGATAAAATGTTAAGAATTGTGAGCATAAAATATGGGTTTTTTTTCTCAAGTTTAGTGTGCCAATAAACTGTTGTTCTGAAAATATAAAAAAATCAAGTCTTAAAAAATACAGCAATAACAATTTATAATCAAGGTCATAACCGTAAAAAATATTACACATTTCTTTTTTAAATTCCAAATAGATCACCACTTTGATTAATATCAATAACTTTTTTTGTTCTTCGACTATTCACGGATTGAAACAAAATAACATGTTGTCTACATGTGGTCGGAATTTATCGTTTTATTTTTCCTCTACACTTCTTGTCAAACATAATATTATACTATGTAAACTGCGGTAGTGGGCGCTGAGTGTTTGTGACATCACGGCGAAGGAGGCGAGAACGGACGCGTGAATAGGGGTTGGAAAAGGCCGGGGGGTGGTGTGTTGTACATTTTTGTCATTAACAACAGGTGTAACCGCGGTGGTGGCTTCTAGGGCCGGAGACCCCGGAATGAGAGTGTTTTTGTGAGTGCGAATGAACAGGCGTGATAGGGTAGAATAGTAGTATACATATTATATAGTAGGTCCTATCCGAATGAATTAACCCCGGAATACCGGCAGAGGACCGTACCCGAAATATGAAGGTTTATTACACCTAATGCTGACTGGTGTATGTGTGTGTGTGTGAGTATACTTAGTGCGGTGCTCTAGTGGCTTTTATGGACTTAACCCGGTCGTGTTTATTATTTTGCACATTCGGTGCTGCGTCCTACCCGGGTCGCGCGCCGTCTCTCCAAAACTTGCCCGCAAACCCTATTGTCCGGTAGCCGGTAGTATAAACAATATAATAACAATATTACGGTGATAATAAAATAATAATAATAATATTATATTGTATTCGCACTCGCGTTTACGGTCTATTTGATATGGCGGAATTAAAATAACATTATGCTGCGGTCCGACGGCCGTTCGTCGTAAAACCGGATATAGAAACGGCCATACACCCAAAAGAGAGGTTATGTAGATGGTGGTAAAGTTTGGAGGCCGGGGATAGTTTATGACCGAAAGAGATAAAGTGGGTGGGAAAACGAAGGGGGCAAATTTTTCCAAGCTTAGAGATCATATACCGAAAAAAACCGATGAAATTGAATGCGATTTTACGGTACACCAGTGATCAGAACGAATATAAAATGCTAGTTCAACGCTCGAATTAAGAAACAAGGTAACAACATTGTCGACTATATTTAAGCGAGTCACTCGTTGTAACACTCTGGTTGTCAAAAAGAAATTGCAACGTGACGCCACCGCCTCTTTGAAACCCAATCCCATATGAATTATGATTCTAAGTCACCTCTAAATCACTTCTAAGATAAGAAGTGTCAGGTGTAACACGCAATATTATTTTTTAATGAGAGTTTACAATCTAAAGTATGTGATAATATAAAAAAATACCGATCGAATATTGTGAATAACATTTTAAGCGTATGCAAATAAGATGCAACTGTAATCCATTTATATACTATGGCGGGCAACAATGCATAAATCGCTGGTGTGTGATCAAACACAAAATGTTTGTAGCGTTTTGTTCAACAACGATAATGTTATACATTTTCATTTTACAATTTCCAGTAATTCTTAAACGTATTGTATAATATATTACTGATTATCCTTATAATTGTCCAAAAACTGATAGTGAAACAAAAAAATATATATATATTAACAGCAAACTATCGTTCGGGTCTTTATTTCTTTAGTTAGATTAAATAGCGTATCTCGTGGAAATGATATCTGTGGCTTGGGTCTATATGAGTCAATGGCAATTTTGGCCATAAACGAGTTAGTTCGCAAATGCAAAAATTAAAACATCCTTTATATACTGTGATAAAAAAACACTCTTGAGGCCAAAAATTGAATAACTTATGAAGAGTTTGGTAAACAATTAACATAGAGCCTTAAGGAAAAAAAAAATGTTAAAGTTCATTTTTCGAAAGTCACAATAAGTGAGATTGGGCCTTTTAGCCACAGAATTATGACAATAATAATAGACATTATAAATGCACAGCTCTTCGTGTTATCTTGTCTAGGGCTTATTTATTTAGACGAATAACATTATATTGATTTATGCGCAGGTCTGTTTGCCCCTAGCCACATGGGCTATAACTTAACGGCCAACCAGACGGTCGAACCCACTCTAGTGGAAATGGTGGAAGCGGCCATCAAGGTGTTGTCCAAAGGCGATAAGGGTTACTATCTATTCGTCGAAGGGGGTTTGATCGATTGGGCGCATCATTGGAACTGTGCTCATCTGGCTTTGGACGAGACCGTTATGCTGTCCAAAGCGGTGGATAAGGCCTTGGAAATGACTAGTCAGACCGACACGCTGATTGTGGTAACGGCCGATCACGCCCACACTATGAGTCTCAACGGTTATCCGTACAGGGGAAGCGACATACTCGGACATCCGTCGGTATCAGATTTAGACGATTTGCCGTACTCGACACTTAGCTATGCCAACGGACAAGGCGTTAGGCCAGACACCGGCGGTCATCGATACAACTTGTCGATGGAAGACACTAGTGAGTTACATATGTTCATGTTTTTTTTTATTTTTTAAATATAACTTTTGTCGACGTTTGAACTGAATATCTATTCACAGATGACGTTTATTATCGGTTTCCGGCCATGATAAATGCTACATGGGAAACGCACGGCGGTGACGACGTGGCCGTGTTCGCCTCGGGTCCGTGGTCTCATTTGTTTGTAGGCAACTACGAACAGAACTACATACCGTACGCCATAAGTTATGCATCCCAAATGGGACCTGGTGCCGAGCACACGGCGAACCCCAACACTAACGCTGCTACTTCAACCTTCTCATTTACTAACCTCCTGTTGATTGTGATAGTGATCGCAATCGGACAGCTCAGAGTCAACAACTAGGCTTCTAGATTTACTGATTTACCGATTCGTAATGAGTTGAGCTCATGTTGTTTGGTAAATCGAACATTTTTTGTGAACTGTGTTTTACAAATAAGTTTTTATACTTCAACGAATAAAATCATTTTCTGCTTTGATTTTATAATTCTATTTTTGTTTACTAATTTAATGCAAGTTTACTTCTGCCTTATGTTCAGAGGTGATCATTAGACAAGACTCTTTTTTTTTTAACAATATTTTTTTACAATAGTTATCTGAAGTCTAAATGTTTTTAAGATCTACAACGGAGTTCCAGAATTCAACGATAGTCACTCATTCTACCCAATACAAAAGGAATTACACAAAATATTTCTTTTATACCATCGTTTCCTGATGTTGTCTACCTTCAATAAAATACCCGAGCAGGATAAAATAGAAATTTACTCAAGCAACATATTTATTATTACATCAAAGTTATTGTCAAATATTTTATGAACATAGGGTGGTCGACATCGTACTGTACCGTTCACATCATTGTAAATTATTATATGATATTATAAACATAATAACTACCGAAACAAATGGGTTAACAACGCACACAAAGTTAATTCGGCTAGTACTGCATGGGACAAGGAACAACAACATGATTAGATTTCCACAATTAAACTAATCGCGTGTACGTACGGATAAGTGATATTATAATTCATTTCAATTGAATAACATTACATTAAAGACACGCCGATTTTATAATATACGAATGTCATGCCCAATGATAAGAGCATAAATACAGTTTGTGCCGTGTGCATGATAATATTTGTCTTTGTTGTGTAACTAATGATAAATAATTTACATAGCAATAGCAATTTACTGTCTGTATAAAATATCGATTAAAAGCAAATAAATAGTGTAATAAACATAGTCAATATTTGCTTTAGCATTGGCTAAACAAGCATCAGCTTGGTTGGCGCGTGTATAAGAAAAGGGGAGCATTCTCGCTAAAATAATTAGGAGTGCTTAAGTTCTAAAAATATTATAGAAAGTCCCCTTTTCTCACTACTTGTAGTACGAAGCACAAGCAAATTCTTGGGTGCTAATTTCGAAAATAGAGGTAATAAGCAGCACCCCGAGGACAACCAAATTGCGCCTATTTTTAAAAATATATTATTATAGATGGGTAAGGTTAGATTTGAACGAAACAAAACAATTTGTATAATATATTTTTTATGGCTTAAAACACGGTAAACAATTCAAACAATATTTCGCGCCGGACTTTTCTTTTAGCTTTTTTCATTTTTACTATATTAAAAACAAGAATAATACAATAACTCGGTTTGTTTATCTCGTTATAATTGACGTTTTTCATTTGGCCGGCCGTGGAACAAACACAAAGTAAAATGTACGCTGTCCCTCTTGCGTTACTCCTATATAAAATGCCGGCGGCTCTAGGGTGCGGTTAAATGGCGAACCTTTGCCTGATGGAATCTCTGCGATTTGCGAATTTACTTAAAACATCTTTCTGTCTGGCCCTCTCTCCCCGTAACGCGAGCGGTGCAAAACCGTTTTTGCCCCGGCAACGAAAATGGAAATGCTGTAGGAAATGAAAACTCGACTGCACAAGGATAGGCCTGAAGCAAGATGGTCGCTGCTAAAGTCGAAAATTACAGCACAGCTCACGCCGTTGTCCATCCGTGATCGCATACACATGTATATTACTGTACACCGCCGTTCTCTATTTCTCGATTACTATTCCCTTAACGTTTCTCCACCAATCCCCCCGGGGGTGAGGGGGGGGGTTAGCCCACAACAACCGTCACTCTGCGGTGGTATTTGCAATTTCGCCGGACCCCGCAAAACTGTACAAGGTTCACGTAGAGACTTAATGAATTCCGGGCCGAAGCGATTAAAATTAATTTCTCCATCTCTGACATACAACATAACAACAATAATGTTACCTTTTACTTCTTTTTAGGTCGTTATGCACTTTTGCGGTCTGCAAAAGATACGCGGTTTTGATGGCCCGGCACCTTTAAGTACGTTATCTTGATCGCACTGCTGCAGTAAACGTTTTGATATTATATTACATTTGAAATAATTAGCTACGTTATCAAATCCGAGTCGCTATAGAATTAGCTGTAAATTATAAGTCAGCGTCACTAGAAACACCAGTTGATATAGTTTAGGTCTTCTTAAACAACATAGCCGCAAATCTCCTAGGATCTGCGGCTATGTTAGCTGCAGAACAGTTTTGTTTGTATATTATGATGCATTTAGAAAATTAACACGCTGTAACAACAATTACCTGTAAATGTTTTTGGGTATTGGAGTTCTCACAAGATAAACCAGTGATGGAGAGGTTACTTTAATAAAAATAAATACTATTTTATTAGTCTAAAATAATATTAAAATGAGTGACATGTACTATTGTACAAAAATAGCTTAACAAGTTCTAAATAAATATTAAATACCAATATCGAATTAATATTTCCGTGTTCACATATCATGAGCTTAAAAATGTTCGGCTTCATATCAAGCTTTATCAAAAAGTCACATATTATACTTCACTTTTAAATAAATAGGTTATTGCATGCCCTGTTGTTATTCGCGACTAATTAATTAATTATCTAATAGTTTTCCATTTTTAATTGAGTCCATAGTATTGACTGATGTATCAAAACACATATAGCTCGTTAATAAGTACACATTTGTATAGAAATTAAACCGAGAAATTCTATACTTCTATATTTGAACACTAATCGCTGCAATAGTCGGTTAGATGTTTATTTATATTTTTTTTAAACCAATAAGTAAAACAGATATTATTGTAAAACAAAGAAGCAATAAATTGAATCGTTCTGATGAGATTTAAGGATTTTAAAGGACTCGTCTCAATACTATAATTAAGTTAAGTATCACCGAGTCTTGGGGGTTTAAAAACAAGGGAATTTTTTTGCGCAGTTGGAAAATGAAAATTAAAGATTGTCTGCGCTGCCATAAGATTGTCTTTTTAATCGAATTACAAAAATGAATTTTTTTATTTTTTTAGGAGAGAAAACAATATGAGGGGTTATTTTGGATGCGACAAAATACAATATCGTTCAAGTGTTCAATTCGCCGTCGAACTTAATCGGATTAAAAAACAATAACCGCTTCTCTTTTGCGGTTCCGGTAGTATCTTGGCATGACGTCGATTCCTCGAGTAGAACGACCAAGTCTCGACGGAAATTAAATTAAAGCCAGTGCGTTCGACTATTCTACTTTAGTTAATTAGTATGTCAGTGAAAAACAAAACAAGTACTCACCAAAGGCAAAAGCTGCAGCCAAGACGACGGTAAACTCAATGACACGACATGTCTATAATTTTTCCTGTTTCCGGTTTTGTTTCTATACCTCATAGCGGCCAAGATTGTTTACCCGGGTACATCAAACGTTTGGAGATGTTATGAGTACACACGGTAAATAACCTTTTTAGTTGTAGGTATTCGTGATAGGATATCAAAACGTGTTTAACTTAGGCACCAAAGCGCATGCAAGCATTCAACCGTTTTATATAATTGCTTAAGAGGACTTTATACGGCAAATTTTCCTGAGTTAAAACATATCTACGCAGAATGACGTCGTGATGATTTTAGAGCAAAAATACCAAACTAAAATGAAAGATGTTGTATTTCAATCAAAGATTTTGAAGGCAATATCATATATTATATTTTTTGATAAACCTAATATTTAGCTTAATATTTTACATTTAAAATCGTACCATGGACCTAGTAAAACACATTCTGCGTAGCTATGTTTAGGTGAAAAAAATATGTAAAATCGCTGTCAAAGATGCTGTGATAGTCTATAAAATAAATTAACAATCAACAATGAGTTTTAATTATTAAACTAATAATTACACAATATTTTAAGCTTTAAATAAAATGTTGCCAAAAATTGCCTTTAAATAACTATTTAATAAATAGGGAGGTATCACGTCCTTTTAGTATTATATAACTCCTTGGAATTATGTATCCAAAAAATTCAAATACATCAAAATTTTTGTTATGTAATTCTATCGATATTAGGTCAACCATATATATTTTCTATTGTAAAAACCTCATTACTTCGGTAATGTGTGGATTTATGAAATGCAATTAAAGTATCGCAATTTATTGAAATAAAAATATAAAAACGTTAGAAAAAAACCAAGGCAAAAACAGCAGATAAAATAAAAAGTAATCTGGCCCGGAATGGTTTTACAATTATTATTATTCTTACGGTTCCCGTTATGGTTTAAGTAATAATACTTCTTTTGAATTGTTCATAATAACTATAGTCACAAGTGCTATAATTTCCATAAGTACGGGATTAAACCTTTGCAACGAACTACGCTTGAACGCGAGAGACGTTTAAGCGAAAAGTACTATTTACATGAATAATAAAGAATCGTTTCTCCGGGTAAAAGTTTAGCGTGCACATTTTTTTCATAATAATACAATAAACAAAAACTTTGAACGCTATCATGTGCTTTCTGTTTGTATTGTTTTCGAAGCCATTATACGACGGCCGTGGCAACTGATGGTCTTAACGATTATCGGCGCAAGCGTTCTAGTCGCACAATTATTAACTTCTGTCGTAGTCGTGTAGGAACACAACGGGAACAGATTTTTTTATAATGCGTTTTTATTCAAATCTTGAGATTAGATTAATTTTTTTAACGGTTCAATAAATGCAAGATTTGGTGATTTCAATGTAGGTACTTGGAACAACATCAGTTATTTAGGGAACTCTTGCTCGTGTCTTGAACAACTACTAATATTCGAATAGTAAACTAAACATTTTTTCGTGTGTTGTTTGGTTGGCCGCATTGTATCCTTTTCAAAACGTATGGTAATTCGCTTGGCCGTTTTTTTATTTAACATGCATCCGGTCCTCGTTCATCTGGATCCGTATTCATCCACATAGGTCGTTTTTGCTTTCCCGGATAATTACCTAACAGCACGAGACGGTTTAAACAGTACACCACGGTTAATCGTCGCGGGCCCCCGACCGTGTGCCGCTGACAAACAATACCGTGTGAAAAAATTCATTTATGACTTACCTACCGGCTACCCTCGGTTTACATACCTAAAACAAACCCTAGAGGACGATAGAGAGAGAGAGAGAGAGAGAGAGAGAGAGCTGCTCCAACGCACACTAACCTTTGCCTTTTGGTACCGCTAAAAGTCCCTTCAGTCTGGCGCTTACCAACAAACTCAAGCTCATTTTTATGACCGGCTATTGTTGTATACTGCCGCCGGGTATGACTAAAAAATACACAAAAGCTACCGACTGGCGACTGTTGACTACAGCTAGGAAATATTATATGTAATTTTTCTACCGACTAATCGATGCAATAACACAACATCAACTATAACGGATGCATGTATTATTTTGTGTTCTACTACTTAGGCTTATGAACTTGAAGACTTATGAAATTGTTGCCGAACAAATTGTGTTTTCAGTGAAGTATAATAATCACAATAATCGGTGGTGCTAACATGATGTACAATTATTACCATGTAGTTGGCGCCAATATCCCATAATTATCCCCGCAACACTCTTTCAAACATACGAAATAAGATTCATATTATTATAGATTGGTCGGTTATCCAAACTACTAATGTATATTGCCATTTTAAAAGTTGTAATCTATTAAGAGATAATTTTATAGGTACACTATGATTTACTGATTTATCGAGATTTCATATGTTTTATCAAAGCCTACCTCCAGATGTTATGCGGGCATGCTTTTATTGCTTAGTGTATGTATAATATTATTTTGGATTTTGTTTGCTGGATGGTTAGTTTTATAGTGAATACATTTTATTAACTTTTAAGATGCATTTGTTAAGGCTTTCATCTCAAACCATGGCGATTACCACTGCAATAGTAATTGGTCAATAGCTTAGTGCCGCGAACAATAAACTGTTTGTGTTGTGTTGTCTAATTGTAGTTTGGCGCCTTGTGAGTACAAGGCTGGCTGTTACCTATGATTACAATCCGGCTACGACCCGGAGCTTAGAATAATATACGACCTGCTTTCCCGAACCGGAAAGGAGGATTACGACCAAAGGCTGTCACAATAGGGATTAATTTAACCGATTAACGCTATTACCGTCTCGGTGGTCGAGTTTGGCTTACCTTCTGAGCTGTATAAAAGGGTTACCATCAGCACGATCATCAGGCTGCGGACACTTGTTGAGTGGCAAACGTGCTGTCGGTGGCAAACACTCATGGTTCAATCGATTGCTTATTTTTCAAAAAAAAACCCTCAACACCTTTAACTATAATGCTCAGCCTATAATGCCACCGACGTCGACGTCGGTTGCTCCGTTTGACACGTTCATCACAACTGTTATTTGATGATCACCTGTAAACAATTAGTGACGAAAAAAAATTAGTACAACTGTCTATTGATGAATTATTTAGAATTAGCCTACACGTACAGTTTCAATTATACTATTGAAATTACTTTACAGTAATAGGAAAAATCAATAATAACATAACAGAGATATTGTTAAATGAATTACTATAGTTCAGTGTTACGTTTCAACGGAATACATGATACTAACAATGTATTTTTCGTTATTTTTCGTTATTATTATGTTGTTTTCGATTCTTGGCAACAACGATAAGCCGCTTTTGAGTAATAAACCTAAATTTCTATGTTATTTTCACACATTAACGTATAAATGTGAACAACCTGACGCCAGTCGGATATAAGGCGACAATAAGTTCAATAACCTATTGTTTTATCGTTTTTCCTTTACAAGCAAAATATCTGATAAGGACTTGAATATAAACTTGTATAAAATTAATACGTAGTATTGAACCTAATACTTAACTCATAAACTTTTATCCTTAATTTTTTGACACACTCCAATTACAATTTGTTCAAATTATAAACTATAATTACATTATCCTCGCTGTAACGGGTAAGTATACTCTAATTTGATCATTTTGTTTGCCGGTTTATTATTTTAAGAACACCCAAAGTAAAAGTATGTGTATTTATTTTGCTTGTTTAATTGTTGTACTAACACAGCCACTTGTCCGTAAATTATAATTACAAAATAAATACTTTATGATGAATTCTTAGTTCAAAAGGCAATTGAAGTATAATTATATTATATTATAACAATTACTAACCTAGGCGGAGACCACAATTTCCATTTATATACACATGTATAATGTATGCTCGATTAATCCAAGTATTTGAGAAAGAAAAAAGCGATAGAAAAGATAAATAGTCGATTTTTCTCTAAAACGATGCTTTAGGGTGACACCCTAAAGCATCTCATATTTACAATGAATTTTTGTTTGGGAAATTTTCAATTGATCAACATTTTGCCTAATCCTGAAGGTTTGCTTGTACAATTAGAATAGGGTTCTTCACTTAAGTATTGTAATACAACGTACATTGTACGCGTACTCCCAGTTAGTTATATCATGTTATGAGAATGAATCATGTATTCAACCATATTAAACATAACAATATTAAGTACGTTGCATTTATATTATTTAAAAATGTATACAAGCTCTTTTATTGTTACGTTGAATTTGTTTGTATCTTTATTTATTCATTTAGGTTACTGGAAAATTCACTTATCTTGCACATCAAATAAATTCATTTTTTCGTTTATTTAATGGTATTAACAGATATTTTACAAAATCTCATATATTCAACCTCATTGTGGTATTTTTTAATATTATATCAGTTTTCTATGGGAAAAAACATTTTTTTTGTCATCGCACTTATAAAAATAGTTTTAAGAGTGTTTTATTATTAATTTGTTGTGATATTTATTTGTTGAACGCAGATGTGCACAATTACTATACTCTCGATTTTTATTAAAGTTCTTTTTTTTAATTTTATTAGATTACATGTATAATTACTATATAGTGTAGTTTCATTTAGATCAGGGCCCGGGTAGTGTGGCTAAAAACAAACGAGGTAAATATAAATGCAATTTTTTGTACATAAAATACCAACATGTGGAAGTGCCTATGCGAATTTGTTTTACCCCGTGTTGTCGACATGGTACAACTATTAATCCACATTCGGTCTAGCTTAAGTCCTTGCCTAGCGCTGATAACCTATTCCTAAGGTTATCGATATAGACAAGTTTAAAAACTTAGCGAGCGTCGATGAAACGCTAATGTTTATGGTTTTTAAAAGCGAGTTGTTCGATTGACGAGTGCAGCTGTTGTTTTAATACTATTTTATGTGTATTCACAAAGGGGTCTTATGATATCGGTCCGACAAAAGCTTTCATATTATACCGTAGGAACAGAACGGGTGCGTGCGTGTTGACATGTAACCGAATAGGGGCATCAGCAGCAGCAGCAACAACAACAACAACTACTACCATCAATCTGCCAAACGTCGTCTTCGGGGGGGAACGGTTTTGGTGCCCACCAAAGACAATACTCGACTCGACTCGCTCATATACGCAAACAACATGGTTTTAATTCGTTCCTAGCCAAATGATAAACGACTGCGTGGCTCTTTCGTGTACATTTCATTATACGTTTGTTTCCAAAATGTGTGTTGGCCCATTGTCTTTGGGTCGTTCTCCACCGAAACCGTTGCCAAAGCAATGATAGTTGACAACCGTCGCCCGCCCCCGTCCGACAGATTATTTACATAAAACGCATTGCGTAAGCCTAACAGGATGGATAACGTGACAGTAGGTACATATTGTTGTATTATAACAATTTACAAGATATCGGATATCGTATTATCTTATATAGCACTATAACTGATTACTTATAAAAATCTTATATTCAACATAAATATTACCAAGTGCGTCCCGGGACCTTGAACAAAGCGGAGATAGATTAAAAAAAATGCTCGTAAATTGAAAGATCCAGGGAAGATGGTCGCCCCACCAAAACATAACCTCGCTATAATTACCTATACTAATTGAATGTATTGTTACAGAACTCAGAAGCATTTAAAACCATTTACCGAGTGACTGGTCAGATATTATATTAAACAGGTAAAAAACGAGTAGGCATTTGGCCCCAATTATGCTAAAGTATATTGTAAAAAATTAAAAATATTAATATTCTAAGTAAGAATATTAACATGTTAAAATAGGGTAAACCATATATTTGTACATTACGTTTTGTATTACAATTTTAAAAACGCTAAACAATTCATGTACGGTTTTTTTGTTAACACACACGTTAAACTAGAAAATGTAGACACGTGTGGAACGGGAATATAAGTTGTGCAATAAGTGTTTTTTGTTCAATAGAAATCGATATTTGCAACTGAACTGCGAAATGACTTTTGTTTTGTTTGTAAGTTTTTTCGTTTACACACCTTCCCCCATCGTGAGTAACTTAATGAAGTAGATAATGCGGTAAGGCGATGATGATAATATTAGTATAATATAATACGGTTGTTGTTATTACCACATCAATGCTATTGGCTTTTCCATTTGTTTAAAACGTTTTAGACTTTCTGAAAGCCTACAGTCGATATAATAATCACTTAAGTCGTGCTGTGTGTGTGTGTTTTTTTTTTTTTTTTTTTGGAATTTTTTCGTTCATACTTTTATGGTGGCGACGAGCGCCGTGGTCGGTTCGCGTGCCGTGTCGTAGCCAAAGCGCGTGGTGGAGACCGGAACCGGCCACTTAGTCGGCGATTAGTTTGTTTTGGTTTTCACTAAACTGCCCTTCCTTTCACCAGTTAAACCCTAAACAGTCTGTACAGTCTGGTCTAGTTGTTGGCCGACTGCTCCGCTGCCAGTCACGTTTACCTTCCTGTCGCGCCTTCACACAGCGATTCGGGCAAGGAGCCCACGCTTACCGGTTACACCCCAGCCGAATATTTTTGAACCGCTAGTACTTAGTGTATACTTAATGCCACAATATGTAAACACTCGTTGTAAAGGAAATGTCGGTATTTCACGCTATTCAATACCTAACATGATAATATTTATTATACGGGTACATTAAAGAAAAAGTATAAGCCAAAAATAAATACAATATGTTTATTCAGCCGTAAAGCCCAGAGAAGCAGAAAAAATATATATAAGTAAGTCTGTGGTATAAAAAAAAATAGATAAACTAATACCGCAATAGGGTTTTGGTGGTCGGACTCCTTACGCGTGCAAGTGTATCGAGGTTTAAGTGCATCATGCTTATACACACGCTGTAGGCTATACAGCCAAAAGAGAAAAATGAATTGTTATTTTTTATACTCTGAAATCCATACTTGATACATAAACCGTACAACTCTCTTCCACAAATCGTTGAATTCACATCTATTTATTTGTCTAAACTTAAAAATATCATGAATTTGTTTTTTTAAACAGTGTCAATGTTATACTTTGTATTTATATTATTGCTTCAACGGGTTTGGTAAAGGAAACACTAATTATTTAAATTATTGTACTCTCTTGTTTTAACCAGGAAAAAAGTTTTTGCACGCTTTAATACTATACAGGTATACTCGTTGTTTGCGTTGAATAATTATTTGACGCCTGTGGTTTATAGCTTACAGCAAAAATAAAAATAAATACAAACATTGTATTGGGTGATATGCAAAACTGCGGATTAAAATTTTTCGTTGATTCTTATAATAATTATATCGGGTCACTTAACAAGCGTTATCTGTATTTTTTTGTGTTGATTAACTCGCGTAGTTATACGAAACGTAAAATATACAACGAGTTTATTGTAATAAGATCACTAATCAAAAAAGTCGGTTTGTTTTTAAAAAATATTTTCTGTAATTAGCTATTCAATGAATTCGCGGGATCGCCTGACCGGGATAAAACTTTTTGACTTGCGTTTAAATAGGATTTTACTATTAATACTGAACGAGTCTCTATTAAATGTAAATAAAAAATGAAATATTTATGAGAAAAAATGTTTATTTCTTCTTCTTTGTTCCAACTATTTGAGATCAGTCACCCTTGTCCTAAACTTTCACTCGAAACGATCTAGCACATCATTCTCGGACACTCCAGCAGTCCTCATACCATTCGACTACCATTAATCTACTTCTTATGTAATCTTTTTTATCCTATTTTCTCTCGTCCACCAATGTAGAATAGAAAATGAGTTTTTTAAAAACGAGTAAACAGAGACGATGCGATGGTTGGCAGAGTATAGAAATATTATCTGTTATTGGCCGAGCTTTTTTTTTTCTTCGATTCTCGTTTATGTTATAATAAATAATTGTCGTTCATCAATAATTTATTAACATAAATTATTGTGTACATAGATGACGAATACTAACGGGAACGCGTGAGTAAACACCTAAATGTAAAACGGTCGTTAAAAAAAAAAAAATAGCAGTGAATATATGCAAAAATAAACGAGAACCGAACGGAGGAAAATAAAAAATAAAAC